AGTGGTACGAGACCCTCTGCGCCGCACTTGCTGACCTGGGCTTCATGCGCACAGAGGCCGACTACGGCGTTTTCTACAAGCGCGACAAACATTTTGTCATACTCGCCATCCACGTCGACGACTGCCTGATCACAGGTGACTCCCGCTCCCAAGTCGATGACTACAAAAACGTATCGCGACTAAGTACAAGCTCACGGATCTGGGTCCGGTAAGCTGGCTTCTAGGCATCAAGATCAGTCGCGATTTTGTCGCGCGCACACTCTCCTTGTCGCAGCATTCGTACATCGATGCGATCATCACGCGCTTCAATTTCGATGACCTCAAGCCCATTTCGACCCCGATGGACCCACACGTCATGCTCTCCAAGGCGCATTGCCCGAAGACCGTGATCGATGTCGCGCGCATGAAGCGCGTCCCGTACCGAGAGGCCATTGGTGCACTGATGTACGCCGCCCTAGGCACAAGGCCCGATATCGCGTTCGCCGTGACAACGCTGGCGCAGTACTCGGAGAACCCGGGCTGGACTCACTGGGAGGCGGTGAAACGGGTCTTCAGGTACCTCCTCGGAACAAGAAACCTGTCGCTGGTCTACGGAGCGCGGAAAAACGAGCTGGAGGGATTTGTGGATGCGGACGGGGCCTCACAGGAGCACAGGCGGGCCATCACCGGGTACGTTTTTCTTGTCGACGGTGGTGCGGTCTCTTGGTCCTCGAAGAAACAGGAGCTTGTCACGCTGTCCACCACCGAGTCCGAGTATGTCGCCGCAACACATGCCGCAAAGGAAGCCATTTGGCTTCATCGCCTCATTGGCGAAATCTTCTCCCCGTCCTCCGAGCCGACCACCCTCCATAGCGACAACCAATCGGCCATCGCACTCACGAGGGACGGATCATATCACGCGCGCACCAAGCACATCGATATCCGGTACCATTTCATTCGTTTCTCCATCGACGCTGGCGACATTCGGCTTATCTACTGCCCTACCGACGACCAAACGGCCGACATCCTGACGAAGGCGCTCCCCTCCATCAAGGTCAAACATTTTGCTGCTGCTCTCGGTCTCGCACCTGCTTGAGGGGGAGTGTTGGAGTGTGTATGGCGAGGCAAGCGTGGTGCGTTTCGGGCGGACAAGTCTTGTCGCGCCATTGACGCGCCTTGTCCCGCCTTGTCCCGCTTGGGTGGTTTCACCTCGTTTTGTTCTCGAGTACGACGTCTCACCTATCTTGTAGTAAGAATGTCTTGTTAAGTTTAGTATTTAGTACTTTCGACTTGTACTAGCTCACCTCAGTCCCGCGTACAACGCGTACTGAGGTGAGTATATGTTTGTTGATTACTTCGTATACTTATACTGATTAGTACTCTGTAGTTACTGTTCTATAGGTACTATTAATATACATATAGTCCCGCGTACAACGCGTACTGAGTTACTGTTCTATAGTCATGCCCACTGGCCAACAGGTATGTCTATAGCAATAGAATTCGCTCTTAAAACGACTCGTTTGTCGCTTTGGCCTTAACGAGCGTTGCCTACCCGATCGGCCAATCCGCACGAGCCACTCCGCTTTGACTCTCGAGTCTCCTCACCGCTGTGACTATGGTGTCTGGCGCGGCTCGCTTTACTTCACCGCTGACCAACGTCCTCATGAATGACACTTTGGCCGCGAGATATGATGCGAAGCGCAACCAAAGCGAGACCTTGTCTATCAATGAGCCCAGGGACTTGTAAAGATGGCAGCCTGGACTCTTCTGACCAAGTAAGCTATCCTCTCGTCGACATCCTTCACCCCGACAATAGTCAGCTCCCTCTGGACCCATGGCGTCTCGACCTACGGCAGAATTCTTGGGGGTTGTTGCCGAACGATTCATCGGACACCATTTCCACGGTGGCCTTCCGCAGTACACGCCACCACCGAAGGTTCCGCTTCCTCTTGCGACGTTCATCGAGGGCATCCTGTACGGCTCGCGTATGCTGGACTCCGAGGACACAGCCTTCTACACCGCGCTTTATATCATCGGGATCCTCAAGGGACACTTCATCATCCTTTTCAATGACCTCGACGCCCAACCCCTGTCGTTCCACTACCTTTTCATCACACCTTCGCAATCGCCATGAAGGTGTGCATCGATGAATCGTGCACCGTCAAGACCATGGCCGAGGCTTTCGCCCCATCCATCTGCACTCCATTACAACTTACTGCGTACCAGGACATGATTCTGAAGCTGCTCGACGGCCACCTCAGCTTCGACAGCACCGTCTGCCAGAGCATCGCAGCGATGAAGGCCAAGGTTCCGAGGGAGTTCTCAGGCGATGGTCCGTACCCAATGTACGCGTTCCCACTGCCGGGTGTCCAGAAGTCCCTCGACCTTCCCATACTTCTCCACAACGCGTTCTACCTTCCCCCGCCAGGAGTACCTGACTCGGTCAGGTATGACATCTTCCCCAATTTTGCAGCGCCCGCTATGGACCTCGTCATGGAGCCAACCTTGCCCCCACACCTCATGCCTCTATGCCCCGCGACACCGTCTATGCCCCCTGTTCCTCAGTATCACAGTTATTGGATACCATAGGCGTGAAGTCCCCAATGTACCTTTGATCTTTCTTCGTCGCCAGGGTTCCCTTGAAACTGCTGCGACTCTGGTACAGTCCGGCATGTATCCGCGCTTTTTTGATTGTGCTATTGGGTCCACATGTGCATCCCTGTAATATCATGCAGCTCTTGAAAGGTTCAACATCATAGTCATCTATGTAACTAGTTCGTCGTATGAGATTTATTGGTTGCCGTAGTAGTGCTTAGACGGCTATCTGCTACCGCTCATGATAGAAGGTCTCGTCATCCTCTGATGCTCGGCAAGATCTAATGCACTCTCACCCCCCGTCCCACAACTTAGCTTGTGAGACACAATTCACGCCGACACTGAGGATGGCGATGGAGAGGACTTGGATGTCCAGGCGAATGCGCCAAGCACTGCCCTTGAGATTTGTCATTGAGCCCGATCCTCCAAGTAATACGAGTATTTGTGCATGCGCACAAACATTCCAGATAACGGTGGTGATAGAGAGGAGAGGGATAAGGGTGGAAGCAGCGCAAACATTCGTGACGAATGACGAGTAAGTAACATACTACAGCTCAGCAGAGGACATCTACGGTTCGTCCATAGAACGCGGACACAACAGACAACAGCAAAAGAAACATTTTCCGCCGGGTTCGCATTGAGCGATATGCGCGCTAGCACAAGGCGAGTACTCCAAGACATGACAAAAGGAGAGCGACGCGGCCCCCGCTCACGCCGAGATCGGGACGGTAGGCGACGCGTCGTCCTTCTTGCCCGCCTGAGCCTGCGCGATCGCCTTCTGTGCCTCGTTCTTGCGCTCCTCCATCTCCTTCACCTTCTTTTCCAGCTCCGCCGCCGTCGTCGGCGTCCCGTCTGGCCGCTTGAACGTCACGCTCTTGTGGTGGCTCTGTGCGCCAATCGAGCCGGTCTCCGGACTCGGCACGTTAACCAGTCCACCGCTCGTCGTTAGACCGCGATGGAAAGATGTGGGCAGGACACGACCCTCAGGATGCTGGTAAGGGCAGGTGACGCGCGTACACGCGGTGCCGAATTTGCACGGGATGGAGGCATGGTGACTGGAGGGACGTGGCGGGTGGGAGAAGGTGCAGCTGGGACGGGTGCACGCGGCGCCGTAACGACAGGGGGTAGCCCCTTGCGGCGTCGGAGCGGGAGTAGGAACGTAGCTTTGAGGTTTTGGCACCTCCGCTGCAGGGCGATATGAGACCGATGCGATAACAAAGTGGATCGTAGACACTCACCACTGATATTGAGTACGGCAGGGCTGACGTGCGCCTTGATACAGTCCTTGTCCTTGCAATCCTTGCCGTTCTCGCACGGATCGTTGCTCAGGACGATACCGCTCTCGGCTGTGGCGACGGGCGATGGGTGCGAATATCGACAGACGGGGTTCGTACACTTGAGGGCGAATTTGCATAGCGTCGGCGACTGAGGACGTTCTGGCGGTACGAATCCGGGACGCGCGGAGCCCATGGACGAAGTTGGTGTGATAGGGATAGGCGTTACCAGCGTGGAGGGCGCAGATTTCGACGGCAGTATCGACGCAACAGGTTGCGGTGTGGGTGCAGCCGACGCCGGAGCTGGTGTGCCATCGTTGACTGACGGCTCACCGACGTGGTGTCCAGTATGTCCTCCTCGTCCACGTCCCGCTCCCCTCGTCGGCCCTCCCCGGCCCCTTCCCCGTCCACGTCCGTTTCCATCACCTCCCTGGCCCATCTGACCGCCCATCCCGTTGTTGAACCCGTTCATGTCCCCCATCCCTTGCTGCATAGGGAACCCGTTGTTCATGAACTGCCCCGTGGCGGGGTTCATGATACCCATAGCGCCCGCTATTTGCGACATCATCGCCATTTGGCTCATCATCAGCTCCTGTAGCATCAACGGATTCGCCATAGCCATCGCCCCCATGTCCATCCCGGGCATGGCTCCCATAGGGAAGCCACCGTTCATCATCATCATATTCGGGTCGGGGCCCGGGCCATTGGTGATGCTGTCGATACGCGCTTGGACATCGTCGCGCGGGTAACTCTGAGGTCCCTGACCGCCTCTGGGGCCAACACGGTCGAGAAGACTGCGCGAACCGCCGGGACCGTGTCCATCACGCTCCCGGAACATCGCGCGCGGACCGGTAGGCAAGTCTGTGCGTCGTGACTTCGCGGGAGGGTGTCCACCCGGCGACGGAGAACGTGCTGAGGCGGTTCGTTTCTGAGAAGGGGGGGATGTAGACGGAATAGCTTGAGACAGGGCTTGCTGGTACAACGGGGCGCCTGCACGAGGGCCGTTCGGAGGTCGACGGTTGTCAGCTGCCTGATGGGGTGGCGAGTCGCGAACGGGTGCTTGTATCGATGTTGAGGGCTCTGGTGGGGCGGGGGCCTCCGCTTCAGGGGCACCCTTCCCGGCTTCCGCGAAAAGCCAGTCGACGAAACTGGCGTCTGCGGACGTGTGAGTTAGGTATCACAAGGGAAAAGTGCGACGTACCAAAATCCGAACCAATGACTACCGTATTCCCTACTCTTCAGCACGCTAACTAACAAGGATGAGGCGGGAGATGCTCACGGTCTTCTAGTTCTGAGGTGATCTGGGCTGAAGGGCAGTCAGTATTTGTCGCCCTCTCCCGCTCCCAAGCGCGAGCGACGGTGAGCCCAACACGCCCAGAGGGGCAGCTTACCTGCCGTTTTATTGTTGATGACCATGATGGTGATATATTCGGCCATGACGGGGTCTTGTCCGAATTATGCTAGGTCAGTCTTGACGAACACCGGGAAGTAAACTGCGCCCGCACCTGGCTCTGTGCTATACTGCCGCTTCATGAGCTCGTCCTGGATCGCATTCTGAAGCGCCGTCGCACGCTCCGTGCCCATCGTCAAGCCGAAAGCCATGATTGCAGGTACAAGGACGGCGGTGGTGGTGGTTCAGATCAGAGTGTGCAGTCGCCCTACAAGGATCGGCTATTCCAATAAACAGCGATTTACCCTGAATCATAAGAGACCCTTTCGGACTTCATAATGTACGGAGTACATGTAAGATATTTTGTAACTCCGAAAAGGCCCACCGTAGCTTGACTTGACTGTTATTTAAGTATCACTACGGTTTCAGGTCCTGTCTTCCTACCATTCTTCCCTCATCTTCCATCACCCCGGAATGTATGCTTGAGAGGCGTCATCGACTTCTTAATGAGGAGACTGAAATCAATAGGTGACGGGTACTAGTGCCGCGAGTGTGTTCTAGCCTTGTCGACGATACAGACCAGTCTAATCAGGGTTCTCTTCCTCAGCAGTGATTGCACTATCCAACTTACGGCGACATCCTCGGGTGCCCTCGAATCCAAGGCCCCTTCACTAGCGCGGCGCAAAGGCCATGCTAACAGTCCCTGACAGGATGCTTTGTCCGTGAGCCTCTCACGTTGGTCTAGGGGAAACCAAGAAAAAACAGGGTCAAGGCATTGTCACTGGCTCCGATAATTGTCCTTCCAAGGATTCTTGCCTTTCTTCGTTTCGAACGGCTGCCTTCCCGTGCCACGTTATCACAATGGTTGGAAAACCTGCGTGCTCTTCAAGTAGTCATCAACACATGCGGGACACGCGTTGTCGCCGTCATCGTCCTCACCGTAGCACAAAGACCTTTGCCTTGCGCATTGCAGTATATAGTGAGATGCCTTGCTCGTCGAACTCACATTCACAGTCGCGATCCCCCCGACTGCATACGCACCACAGCCCGGTCAATCGTCAAACTTTGAGGACCTATTCACCGCCATGGCGTTCGCCGACTTCTTCAAAGCCGCATTTGGCATTATCTTCGGTTACGACCTCGACGCTGCGCGTAAGTCATACGACAAAGTGCTCACACCATTCCTGACAACCAACATAGTGTTTTATCTTCAAGAAGAGCGGAAGCGTCCCGAGTCCGTGCTGGACTACGTGCCGTGCGACGATAGCTTGGATTGCTTCGCCTGTCCACCGCCCCATCTGTCTCTTTCGAGACCGTCACCATCACATACCTTCGCTGGATGGAAGTATAGACGCTTCGGGGCTGTTTGAATGATGGGTTAGTTGCACTGTGAAGAAATGGGGGTTCATGGAGTGGTGTACGAGTGTGGATTGTACGAAACAGAAATTCAATCATGTCCGGGGATGAAAGCGCTGCTTCCTTGTCAGGTGCGACGGCACAGAGACCGTTGACCGCTCAAGGCAGTTGACAAGGGTCACGGGAGATCTCAAGGCGACCGTTGAAAGTGCTGGAAGACAGGACATGTAGAGACTCTGAGAAGGGTTTTGACGTCGCTTGTGAGGACAAAGCACGACTCGTTCCCCGTCCATTCCCACGCGACCTTGTTCCCTACTTGAACTTGAGGAGATTCAACTAGTAGGAGGTAGAGACATTGTAGTCAACGACGACCAAGTACAAGGCATGTGGGAAGCTCCATCGGGTAGACTGGTTCGAAAGGCAAAGCCTGTGGTGACAGCAGACCCAAACCCTCTAGGACCTACCAGCGCATAGGACTCGCCTCTGGCATCCTGTCCTTTACTACATCTGTCATCCTCTCCAAGCAAACCCCCGGTCTCCCATACCTCGTTGCTCTGCAGAGCAGACAGAATCCTCTACGACTCTCCTGCACTTCAAAATGCACGCTCGCTTCAGCACCCTTGCCTTCATCCTCCTAATGATATCTGCGGTTGGTGCGTTTGCGTGAACGACAGAATATCCGTCCGGCAACTGACTTGGAAATGCTATGGGGACAGTCTCCGCCATAGATAGCCGGCAAGCGGAGAGATTGGCCATGAACAGAAACATGGCATGTTCAGGCCCATCCGGTTGTGCGAGGGTGCGTCCTCGATCCTGCTATTTATAGTCCGGTATGACTGACGTTGTGTACAATGTTGCAACCGTTATGCAGGGTGACTCGTAGGAGTTATACCTTCGCGGACCCTCGACAATGACACAACGACTGGGATGTCAAGGTGATGGCTTGGATGGAGATCTTCGCATTCAAATGTTAAGATGCCTGCACAAACCGTATTATAGTACTAGTATACCTAAATGTAGCATAAGGAACCCACGTCAGTCCTTGCTCGTTGGCCTATTGGATGTTCTGCAAATGAGCTTCCACATCATGTGTCTATGAAGTCGTGAACGACCGCTCATCACTTATCTATACATGTAGTTCTGAGTGAGTTCACCCGACCGGCGAAGTGGCATAGTATGTCGGGCTGGGTAGCAGGTAGTAAACTCGAGGATCCGGCTTACCGGCAGCTTGTCCCGGGCAAGGGGATCGTTACCAGCTCGTGCTGCTACTACGACAGACAGGGCGTTTAATTCAACCCTGTGAAATGCAAGAGATTTTCCGGGACAGTCCTAACTTGAACAGCTGAGATTCCCTCAATTTCTCCCACGAGTATAGGATGACTTTCACAGAAAAATACCATACAATTCTTCTCATACAACAGAACAACTTTGGCGTGCCACTCGCCAGAGTGGAGAAAGGGACTTAGTGATTAGCTTTCACAAAGGTTTTCTGGAGCTCAGCCTGTGAAAGCTGACCTTTCCCGGTCATTTTCTCTGACGGGGCGAGCGTGCAGGAAAGGTGTAGTTTTCTCTCAGGATCAATTCTTAGAAAGGCGTAGAGAAAGTCAAATTGTTGCGTCATGCGGTATGGATGTCATGTTTCCGGGCAAATTTAAGACTGTCCCGAAGTTTCTCTCGCCTTTCTTCGCACAAGAATTTGGCCCGTGCCTGCCGTGTACTACTCTAGATCACAAACAACCGACGCAACAGCGATCCTTCGGGTAACTTTTCAAAATGCTGTATACTATACATCGCGAATCGAAAGCCTGTCAGCCTAAGCGAGCTGAGCAAGGTTGGATCCGTCAAGAGACTTGTGACTGTGTCATATGGGAATGGTCCCCTATTGCGCAACTGCTAGATGAGTAAGCCCTTTCCGAGGTTCTGCGGAACAGCCATAGGTGCTGACCAACGTTGTTTCCTTCTCGTCCCATCCAACGCAGGTTCAGATTCACGACATCCGTACATCTGTGACAATCATTGCGATGGGTCTACCAGATGAGCAAATCCACCCTATTGCAACTGGGCGCGCTGTGCAAACCGTCGAGCAGCATCAGGAGTCGCAGGATTTAGTTTTCTACTCGGGATGGGTCAGTACGCGTCCTGATCTGATCCAACACGGAAATCTGATCGTCTGGATGTCTATAGTTCTGCCCATATGTACAACGAGTGTGGATCACCCTCGAGGAGCGTGGTATCCCTTACCAGTACAAGGAGGTTAACCCGTACAAGAAGGAGCCACATTTCCTTGGTATGTATATGTAGTGGATTTCATGTCTGTCTCATACTAAACCACGGGGCCTACAATCAATGTGCCACTTTTGCTTCTATAGCAATCAACCCGAAGGGTCTCGTTCCGGCGATAGAGTATACGGGTCGCGCTCTATACGAATCACTCATCATCTGCGAGTTTCTTGAAGACGCTTTCCCCGACCACGAACCCCACATTCTCCCGTCCGATCCATTCGATCGAGCCCTGGTTCGCCTCTGGACCGATCATGTCAGCAAGCAAATTGTCCCCGGGTTCATGCGATTGGTCCAGGCACAAGATTCACAGAAGCAGCGCGAGTATCTCGAGGAGTTCAACAAGGCGCTCCGCACTATCAGTGCGCAGGTGAAGGGTCCATACTTTCTCGGAGAGCAGTTTACGCTGGTCGATGTCGCCCTCGCCCCGTGGGTTGTCAGAGACTACATCGTCGCAGAGCACCGGGGATACAGTCGTGAGGCTGTTGGCAATGGCTGGAAGGAATATGCCGTACAACTGGAGACGCGCGAGAGTGTGCTGAGGACGCAAAGCGTGAGTCTGTTGTCGCTTTTTATGCTGGGACGGAAGCTCACCGCTATTGTAGGATCGTGTTTACTACACCGAGATCTATGGTAGATATCTCCGCGACGAAGCCCAGAGCGAGGCGGCGAAGGCAATTCGAGCTGGACGTTCGTTCTGATCAACCAGCCAGCGTCGTCACAAGAAGATCATACGAACCTGCTCATGTACAATACCGTTTGTGGCATCGCAAGCGCGAAGTTATCAGTCTCACGAATCTTGATTGCAGGGTGAACCTTTCCCTATGAGCGAGTCTAAGTCTGGTCTCCGGATCTTCTCCATGATGCAGTGCACCTAATCGAGGCAATACACATCTTCATCCCAAGTTTGAGGTGTCTTGAGTTGGGAGAAATCGTTAGCTAGTGGCGGTGCGTAAAATACCGACACGAGAATATGGTACCATTTCGTCAGCGGTGAAGTAAAGCGAGCCGGGCCAAACTTCATAGTCATAGCGGTGAGGGGACTCAAGAGTCAAAGCGGAGTGACGAGTGCGGATCGACCGATTGGGTAGGCCACGCTCGCTAAGGCCAAAGCGACAAGCAGGCATGCTGCAGCTGGTCGTCTGCCGACACAACTCCGGGCAAAAGAGCTCATTTATTCATTCTTGGTGGGCTACGCAGCGTGTCGATGATAAAACTCCCAATGGTCTTTGTATGTCTCTCTGTTTGTCTGGGAATTAGTATCGACATGACACGTAGCGCAGAAGGGTCTCCAATATTTTCTCACCTGGACCTTCGCGCTAAGTTGCCCGCATGCATTCTCATGATGCCCATACAGCAAGGCCCCCCTGAAGACCAGACGGGGAAGATGCGCGACAGTCTGCGACAGTGAGATTTGAAAGGACTCGGAGGAGGGTGAGGACGGGCAAGAGGATGAAGTCTGTGCTGTATCATGATACTGAATTCACGTCATCGCCGAAGTCGGGAGATGGGCCGCTTGCGTCATTGATGAACTCTACGTTGAGAACTCGTTTTATGAGTACCCACCACTGGACATCTGTACGATCTGCACATCGACCTCTCTACTTACAGATTCCTCTACAATAAGATACGCCAAGCGAGCATCAAGTCCAACATGAGCATGCCAGACGACAAGATACTCCCTCATGCCACCGGCGAGGCTGCGAAGACAGTGGAGAAGCACAAGGAGCCGCAAGACCTTGTTTTCTACGCCGGATGGGTGAGCTCGTATCATTGAATCTGTACATCAATGCGAAGTCTGATCCCTCTGCTCCTATTAGTTCTGCCCTTTCGTCCAGCGCGGTTGGATCACACTCGAAGAGCGCGGTATACCATACGAATACAAGGAGGTGAACCCATACAAGAAAGAGAAGCACTTCCTCGGTACGCGCCTTCTCCGATTTCACTTGATAAGTCGACAAGGCTCATCTCCGGGCACTCGGAACAGACATCAACCCGAAGGGTCTCGTCCCCGCGATCGAGTACAAGGGCAAAGCGCTATACGAGTCCCTTATCCTCTGCGAGTTTTTCGAGGACGCCTTCCCGGACCACGCCCCGCATGTTCTCCCCAAGGATCCCTTCGATCGCGCGTACGTCCGCATCTGGGTCGACCACGTCTCCAAGGTCATCGTGCCGGGGTTCTTCCGCCTCGTCCAGGCGCAGGAGCCTGAGAAGCGCCAGCAGGCGCTCGAGGAGTACTATACCGCGCTACTGAAGCTGAGCGAACAGGTGAAAGGGCCGTACTTCCTTGGCGAAGAGTTTACGCTCGTAGACGTTGCACTCGCGCCGTGGGCTGTGCGCGACTATATCCTGGCGGAGAACCGGGGCTACTCGAGGGACGCGGTAGGCAAGGGATGGAAAGAGTACGCGCACCAGCTGGAGACGAGGGACAGCGTAGTGAGGACGTGCAGTGTGCGCTTTTGGCTTGCACCTTGATGTTTAACGGAGTTGCTGACGCGGCTACCAGGACAAGGAGCATTACGCGGAGATATATGGGCGATACTTGCGCGACGAGGCGCAAAGCGAGCAAGCGAAGGCGACGAGGGATGGAAGAACTTTCTGAACTGTTATCGGTTAAACAGGAATTTCGACCGAAGCGTTCGTTCATGATTGCAAAAGAGAATAGGAGTAGGAATCCAGGTTTGATGACAGGAAGTAGCGTCTGAAAGCGGAAGGCGGAGGCTTTGGATCCTAACAAATACAAATAGCGCCACTTACGTCGCGGTGATTACAACCATGTATGTAGTACTGTCGTTGCTATCTTCTCAAGTATCCGAGTCTCGTCTCGAACTCAAGAGCGATGGCGAATCTGGACTTGCAAACGGCGCGAACACTTTACGAAGGTGAGTGTATTGTCTGACTGCTCTTGTTGGCAAGGAGGGTGTATAGGACGCATCATGCCTGAGCAGAGTTGCAAGCTGTAGCTATGGTAGCATCGAGGTTATAAGCTGGAAGTGGGAAGGCACAAACTTCAGCTGACATGATAGTCTCTATGTAGGAGCACGAAAATGGTTTGCCATAGTCCCTCCCTTCTTCTTTCCCCCGACGTTCTTCTACGATGCGCCTTTTGGACGGTTTAGCCCATCAACGAAGAGTATCTTCACGGTCGATGGTGAGTGACAATCTCACTCGCACCTTCTATAGGGTAGGGTCTTCCGGGCAATCCTGGCCACGGTGGCCTTGGTTGAATTTTGCTTGGGTGTCTTTCGAGACTGCTTGAATTGACAGCACAGTCCTTGCGCGCATTGGGCGGGCTCGCGCCCACCCTCAATGCGCCACGACTGTGCTTTCCTACGTGCTATTATTCTTCCTCGATAGAGTTTGTGGCGGGCCACCGTCGGGATCCGCCCTCCATATAACCCGCTCTTTCCCACCAGCACAAGCTAGGCAGTGCCAGCGGTCCCTAAGAACCACCTGCTGCACTTGTGCACCCAAAACATGAAAACACGCGCGAGTTGGCACCTCCCACATCGTGGCCAGAAATATTCGACATCTAAGCATGCCGTAACTTCATGTTAACACGTTACGTCTTTAGGCATCCGCTCCTGGATCGCCATGGAACTCGTCGCCCTCGTCGCTTTCTCCAACTCCTATCTCCGCTCCCCTCTCTCCCCCACCTCCACTCTCGCCCTTACCTCCCCCACACGTCTGTTCCCCAACGCCCCGCCACTCTCACCGGCGCACCCGCCAACGTTGATCGCGCTCCTCTTCGTGACGCACTACCTCAACCGCGCGCTCGTCTCGCCCCTCCGCACGCCCTCGCGCTCCAAGTCGCATCTCATGGTCGCCGTCTCCGCCGTCTTCTTCAACGTCATCAACGGCTCGCTCATGGGCACATACCTCTCCTCCCCGCCCGCGCAGTCCTTCCTGGCCGACGCCTTCGCGCGCCCGACGTTCTGGCTCGGGCTCGCCCTCTGGGCGGCGGGCTTTGCGGGCAACGTCGCGCACGACGAGATCCTCCTCAACATCCGCCGCAACGCCAAGAAGGCCGCCGCCGACGACGCGAACAACGGGAAGGACAAGCCGAGTCAGGAGCACTACGCGGTCCCGCACGGGCTGCTGTACCGCTTCATCTCGTACCCGAACTACTTCTGCGAGTGGGTAGAGTGGCTCGGGTTCGCGCTCGCGGCCTCACCCGCTCCGTCGTTCGCGTCGGTTGGGGCGTTCGTCGCGACGGTCAGCCCGCCGTGGCTGTTCTTCTTCAATGAGGTGTGGCTGATGCTCCCGCGGGCGTACAAGGGGCACAAGTGGTACCATGGCAAGTTCCCGGACTATCCGAAGGAGCGCAAGGTCGTCATTCCGTTCTTGTTCTGAAATTGCATCTTGATGTACATCTGGACTGTGACTCTGGATTTGGGCCTTTTGATATGACCATTGTGTACTGCAAGTGTCTTGGTAGCGCTTCAACGTGCTAGACTGCACTAGATACCCTGTTGATCTCCGAGATTACTAGTGTTCCCGTCGCAGGTTGCAGACTGACCAGGCGAATATGGTTGGCAACTGGTCGTACAGAACGTACAGACCTCTGTATTAAACGTATTCAGATCAAGAGAACATGGCACTCTTGTATGGTACTAGTAGGCGTAGCAATCGTTCTATGTCATAGCAAGTGCGTCTCGGCCTCCTGCAGCACATCGCACCGCCCCAACGGAGACCGCGGTCATATCGATGGGAAGGGTGCACACCTAGACCACCCAACTCCAGAGTCTATCCAACCCACCCGTATGCTCCCCGAGCCTTTTCACCTCTGACCACCGTAGCGGACCTTGCGGCCCATGTCGAAGGGGACGTACTTGTACTTGATCATGTGCCTGGGAAATACGCGGGAACACGTCAGCGGCTGGTCACACAGATTGCGAGCACCCCTGGGGGCTATCTCTGGGTGACAGGAGAGGGAGATACGCACTGTATTTGACGGCGCATGGTGAGAAGGAAGAGGACGAAGAAGTAGACGACGAGGATAGGCCAGTATACGGGCACGTCGAACATTTCGAAGAAGGTCGCGAAGATGGCGACCACGGTTGCGCGTGTCGCAGATAGCCTGTGCAGCAGCATGTTAGCAACTCCGTCAACATCTCCAGCACGACGGACAAAGTGCCTGTTTCCTTAATATGGAAACAGTGTGAAGACAGGTCTGACGGGTTGATGTTTCGCTAGGGTTCCCTAGGTGTTCGGAGGGAACGGAGAACGACATATTTCCTGGTTGTTTCCTGAATGCAAGCGAGAGGCTCCATGTGACTAGCAATGGGAAAGTTCACGGAAGCAGGCGTAAGCATGGCAGACCAGGGAGTTTTCCGCGTGTTTTGCTGGAGTTTCCCATTTCTGAATACACAGACCCTCTTTCTTGATTCCAGGAGTCATCTCATTCCCCACTCCCCCGAATACCCGGGTAACTTTCGACGAACATCAAACTTTCAGACGTGTTTTCACCGTGTTTCCCTGTTCGAGAAACAGGTGTCCTGCCCATCGTGGAGCTACACCGCCGCGATAGAGGGGAAATAACGCACCAAAACTGCCATTCGGGGAGACGGCGGACAAACGGGCGGAACTCGTCATCGCGCGAAGAGGGGAGAGGCGAAGCCGCGGACTCGCCACCCTCTTCAATCTCGTCCGCTAGAAGGTCTTCCTGAAGCGATGGGTCGAAGCGGGGCTGAAGGAAGGCGAGGAAGAGGTTGAGGAGGTAGATTGCGTGGGCGTCTGTGTCCGAGGAGGGTCAACATCGCTCTCATTTGTTTTCCTCTCTAAGACTAAGGAACTCACAGCATACTGTGAAATAAACTTGAGTATACACATAGGCTTACTCATTGCGACGCCACGTACCAATATACCACTGATCACAGGGGAACCCAGGAGAGGAGACGCACGTATATTCGTCAGGCACACGTCCCACCCGCGAGAATCGAAAACAAACTCACTCCTTGCGCATAGACTATCCTCAGTATGAACAGGGCGAGCAGTCCCGCAGTCCCCAGCCACCTGTATAGCACGAACGGGGTGACCTTATCCAGCCATTGCTGGTATTGTCGCTTCGCCTTGGCATAGTGTACAGCCAGCGGTTGGAGAGGACCCGCCGAGGCCTCGGGGTCGGATGAGGACATCATTTTCAATGTCTTTGCTAGCGTTGCGCCTGAAGCCAAGGAGAAGCCGACCAGCAAAAGGACGTAAGGAGCAGAGGAGGAGAAGCAACGGGAGGTGGCAGAGGGAGTGAGAGCAACGTGTACGAAGACTCCGTAGGCGCGGAATTTTCCGCCTAGGGCATGTCCCGGGCCGCGCGCGAGCTCACGGCCTTCTCGCTGAGACCACGACGACGGTATGAGTATGACAAGCGGTCAAAATAGTCGCGATGACTGAAACAGTATGTACGAAGTGCATTGCTTATAATGCGATACTGAGCTGAACGTTCTTTCTGGACATGTGTCAATCGCAGCCTCCGGAGGCCATAGGCCATATGAGCACTCACGTACTCACCCAGCTCTCTGCACATCGCTCGCGACACGCGGGAAAGGACGCGGCGGGACGCACAATACCACCTCTGATTGTCGGCGTACAGGGGCCGCAAGGCAGCGGGAAGACCTTTCTCACCTCGCTCCTCCGTGACGCCCTCCAATCCCCGCCGCATAACCTCTCTGTTGCGGTCTTCTCGCTCGACGACCTCTACCTCCCTCACGATGGCCTCGTATCACTTGCACAGGCTCACCCCCACAATCCGCTTCTCAGGGGGCGCGGTCAGCCGGGGACGCATGACGTGCCCCTCGGGACACAAGTTCTCACCAAGCTGAGGGGCATCAACGATCTAACTGGTCCCGACGCGCAAGTCGAGCTCCCGAGCTTTGACAAGAGCCTGTTCAACGGCGAGGGAGACCGCGCTCCCTCAGGCACAATTGTGCGTCCTCCCGTAGACGTCGTGCTCTTCGAAGGATGGTGCGTAGGCTTCTATCCCATCTCGCGCGAGGAGGTCGAACGGCGGTTCGTGCGTCCTGTTATTGGGCTCGACGAGGGATTCTTTGAGAAGAGAGGATACAAAGTGGAGGATGTGCTCGAGATCAACGAGCGTCTGAGCAGTTACGTTTCGTGGTGGGAGTCACTCGACGCGTTCATTCAGGTATGTGGTGCTGGGACTTTCACCGTTCGCGCTGACAGGCTCTGTAGATAAAGCCTCCTGATGAGCACCCGTACACCCACATATACAAGTGGAGGCTGCAGCAGGAACATAATTTGAAAGCTCGCAACGGCGGCAAGGGTATGACGGACGAGCAAGTAGAAGCGTACGTGCCGTTCAAAGCCCATCTTATAGAGCGCTCATGGTCCACAATGATACAGCTTCGTGGACCGTTATATTCCAGGGTACGTTTTCTTTGGAGACGGTGTAACGGAAGGCTTCGAGGAAAGCCCGGGCCACCGCAAATTGCCGCCGTGGATTGGGCGCGGGCTGCGTATCCAGATAGGAGAAAGCCGAGAAGTGTTAAGGGTAGATAACTTCTGAATGAAGGGATCGACATGTATGTTTATGTGTATGTTTAGTATTTATCAAACGCGCGCAGCTCATTCCTCGACTCGTTGCGGTTGGCGTTCAGGACTTGGTGTCAATATGGAAAAAGAGGGAGGAGGACCGTCGTATTCCCATTAGCGGACTCGAACGACTGACCTCATCATTACAAGTGATGCGCTCTACCAGCTGAGCTAAACGGGAGGTGCCATCGATGGTTTCCACTATGTCCCCGATCTGGTGGAATGATATCCGGGTGTAGGACTTTACAACGCACAACGGCCTCTCACTAGGTCCCTCAGTAAACCTAGCACGCTGTGTAGGATATCGTAGAAAATATGAATTGAAAAGTAGCATATTTGAAGGAATGGCATAAGACCTGCTATGAGGTGGCAGCTCTGTGGCGTCAGGAGTCCAAGAGATTGGTAGGAAGTTCGCGTTTTCGTGTATGGGCGCCTGTGATGCCTGATCGGGCCGTAGTACCTCAGCTTCGTTTTGACGTTGGACCGTCATCTATTCCTTCCCGGTTTTCCTGCGACGGTATGCCTCTCATTGAAGTGAGTGGTACTACACACCGAGCAAAACGGCACACTGATGAGGTTGTCGATCTGCCACTGAATCTCACCACCGAATCTCACCTTCCCTGGACGCTCCTCCCGGATATTTGGATGCACGATGTTGGCATGCTGTAGGTCATCGCGAACGACCGGCTTGGGCGCAAAGGTGCGTGTCCCTATCGCCGTCGCCTTGCAGGACATGTGCACTGATGCGCAAGGATGCGTGTAGTGCGCGTCAAGTGCAGTCCAGACGACACCGTTGGCGACCTCAAGAAGCTCATCGCGGCCCAGACGGGTACGGATCCGTCCAAGATCCAGCTCAAGAAATGGTGTGCATCTCCGACTTTTCTATGCTGTTCAATCAGCGCTGCCTCTCCCTATTCGCCCTCTTCCTTCAGTTTATCCTCCCTGCGGACGTCCCTCCCATCATTACCGCCTTCTTCCGCGACACAGAGCTAACGTCCCGTCCATCCCAGGTACACGATCTACAAGGACCATATCACACTCGCAGACTATGAGATACACGACGGCATGAGTCTTGAGATGTATTAGTCGACGATCTGCCGCTGTGTGGTGCGGCGTAGTCTGTTTTCTCGGGGCATCCCATCCTCATGCCTCATGTCCGCGAGGCCGATTGATTGTTCAAAGTGAGCTGCGATTGTAGTACTTGTGATGTAGATGTATCAATAGACCAGAGTGTTTACGATTGCACGCAACTGGCTACGTAGCCACGAATGCACGCAGTCGCGCGTTCGCTTTCGCAGTTACAACACAAGCGTGCAGTCGTGTAATCGCAGAGTCGGGTAAGCGACGCTAAGTATCCTATTCTTAGTTCTCAATGGCCCCTACAACGAAGTTCTTTCCTTGCGCAATGTAGATCAACTATAATCTAAATAGTTCTCACTATTCATCCGGTTCTCGATGCGCGCAAAATGAATCTACTCAAGGGCGTTGCAGGGTGCATAGACTTGAGCCTTGCCCTTCGCCGAACTCCTGCCGGAGGGCGCTCCAGTTACAACTTACAATTGACGCGCAGTTACACGACTGCGTGGCTGCATATACACACAGAGCTTGGCGAGCTTCGCCATCAATTGACTGCGTGAATACGTGGTTACGCAGCCTGCTACATAGCCAGTTGCGTGAAATCGTAAACGTTCTCAGAGCAGGGCAGCTCACTGGACTTTGCTTTCCACCCCGTTCAGAACGGTATTGCGATTCCGCGAGTGCCCGGTCGGCGGTTAGTCGACCGTCATTGTGTACGTTCGACCACGGTGATCCGAGCTCCTATGCACCACTCTTCAGCTCTAAATTCTGCAAGACCTGCTAAGTAGATCCCACATCCCTTGACAGCCGTTCCTAGATGCATTCGATGCCGTATATGCAAAGATACATGAGACCGTTCTATATATCTTTAGGACACTGGTTAGCGTCGCCTAGCCCCTATCTCTCAGTCCTGACAGCTTGACTTACATATGCACCAGTTTTTTCCCATCATAGTACTGGTCAGCGCAGACAGCACCCAAACACGAGTCCACAACTTGGCGGGTCGGTCGCTGGACCAGTTGTGCAGTTCTTCAGGGCATCGGATCAGGGACTCACTTCACGCCTGAGCTGGTAAACGCGAATGTGGTACTGTGTGTGGCGTCATTACAATGCATAGAGTGTAGATCGTAGACAAAGCAATAAGGATAAGAGACCAGGTAGGCTAATCTAGAGGTGGGGGACACGCACGGAATCCCCGTCTATAGTAGATATTATGTCATGTCATGTCATGTCATGTCGCGAGTCCGCTCTTGTGTATCTGCTGGTCTACAACATTGTTCACCCTGCTCTCGAGCTCACGCATCGTGTCTGCGTGTATCGACACCCGCTTCGGCCCGGCGTCACGGCCTCGCCCGAGCGGAGCCTCAGCATTCAGCGGGGCTCCGGAGCGAGGCATGGTCTGTGTATATGTGCGATCTAGCGTGCGAGTGCGGTCGCGGTCATTTCCCACCCCGAGGTCTTCGAGACTATGTTCAGAGTTGGCGTCCATGGTCGAGAACCGGCGGGGTAGGTAGTCTCTGGTACTATTGGCCTCGTCTCCGAAGCTATTGCTTGAGTGATCGCCGAACTCGATGGGTAGCATTACGGCACGATCGATAGCCACCGGAAGACCGCGATGACGGCCTCGCAGCATGACCGCACAAATGATGAGCTTCGACAGTGGTCGAAGCGCACCGGAGAACGAGTAGTTAGCCTGGCGCAGAACGATTAGCCAGCCACTTCCATAACAAGGAAAGGTATGGGAACTAACGTTAGGTAATCCGAGACTTAGGCCGACTGTGCCATACGCCGATACGAGCTCGAACACTATACGCTTGCGTTAGGATCATACCATGCCGGAGAATGTTCAGACTTACGGATGTTGAAGATGTTGAACCAAGAGCTGTTCGCCTCATCCTCAAGCCCATCTTTCTGTGCGGAGGATCAGTCGAGTGCAGCGGCGTGCCATCACCAGAGACGTACCTCGATGATACAGACAAGGAAGAGAGCTAAGCCTAGCCACCACATATCTAGCAGGAAACGCAATCAGTAACGTCATCGACTACAGGAGATATGTCAACCCACCGAATGAAAGCTGCTTCCGGGCATGCATGGCGAGATATCTCCCCCACACTGTGGCGCGATTACCTGTTGGATTGAAACCCGCTTCGCTGTCGTCGTCGTCGTCATTGAAGATGCCAAGTGACTTCTCCTCGTAGACGTTCGTAGATCGGACGCTGAAAAATTATGAGATACACGCTAAGCTATCTAGTTGCATGATCTCACCTCATAGCAACCGGGTCTGGAGGATACCGGTAGCTATCAGCCCGAATGCACTATGCTTGGAGATGACTATCGACTTACATACGCTGATATACATCATCAGCACATACAGCACTCTGTGGCGACGTTAGCACAAAGTGCAACCGGGAGACGTAACGTGGACGTACTTCACGGCAGGGGCTAGTGCCGACAGTGTGACGGTAGCGAAACCGGCAGCGCGGACGGCCGTCGCTTGGAGAAATCCAAGCAGGAATCGTATCCCAAAGGGTATGATTTCGATTACAGGATTACCGATATCCAAAACCAGGAAGAAAAACCAATCCGTGAAGCTGCATGGGCGGTCTGTGAGCACGGGGAACATTTTTAGCTCGGAGGAAAGCTCACGTTAGACCGAGGAGAACGGTGAAGAGGAACCAGGTCTGATGGGAGGGGAAGAGATACACGAAGCATCTGCGCGGGTGATCGAGCAGAAAGTGGAGCGTCTCGCTCAACCGCGAACGACGTGGGACCAGTTTCCGAAGTATCCATCTGAGAACAGGACATTAGATCACCCGTTGCAGGCAACAGTATATATGCTTACATCTCGAAGCGCAAGCTAAAATTCAAGCGGGAAGACACTCAGATACGTTACGCAGAAGCAGTCAGTCAAACTCACAAGACAGGCTGACGTGGGAGAGATGTGAGCAGTTAGGACCAGATCGAAAAGCAAAGGCTAATGACGCACGAATGCAGTGTTTCCGGCTAGAATGAGGAATGGCAGTATGAGAACCATAGGGTATGCTCGTTGGAATGGAATCATAGACTGGTCGACGAGGGACACTCCGGTATTCGTGTATGCCGACACGACCTGGAATGCGGAGAACCTGCGAAAGGAAATTTATTTAGCGCAAGCCTACGGCCCGCAAGGCTCAAGACGCATACCACGCCGAACCGACATGTTTGTGCAATGCTGGAGGGTTGAGGTCGCTTTGCCATCTGTGGATAGACATGTATGGGGCAATTACAACAAAAGCAAGCAACTGCAGCCCGAAGTGATACTGCCGTCCCCATTACGAAATCAGCGAGCAGCGTCAGCAGGGGAGAAGGTCCACCTTACCAGAGAGACGATCCATAACAGCGCCGTCAACGCACGATATTCCACGCCTCCCAGCTCCTCCAGTTGCTCTTGAGTGAGAGCCTGGAACACAGAATTGCGCCCGACGACCGCCTCGAATGAGATATACGGTACCGGGCGAGATCCAGGCGGGATCGCACCGCGCTCCGACGCGATCGTCCGCGTCCGTGGAATGGTGATCGTTCGCGTCAATCTGCGTTCGAGCTGGGGAAACGCACGTCCAAATAGTCGCCCCAAGAGCTCGTGCGGCATCGGAAACCCTCCGAACCCTCGGTGCATCGTGCGTCTCGGTGGCTCGCTGTACGGGTGCGACGCGGCGGTCATGATTGTGCCCGAGCGTGGCATAGTGCCCATGGACCGCGACATGGCGGGTCGCAGCGTCGTCGGACGCGACGTTGTGCGCCGCGACATCGTCGGACGTGACATAGACCCTACATGATGTGATTAGGTTCACTGAGGGCTTTACGCTGATGGAGAGTGCGAGTCAGCTTACGACGTGCGTGAGACGTGCCGTAGGCGATGTCGTCTTCTAATGAGGATTGGGCAACGGGGCTGAAGCCTCGGTCCAGCGCGAAAGCTTGAGGAGTGGCTGCAAACTCCACCGTCTGTGTACGTGGGAGTAGGGGTCCTCGGCCTTGTCGATGAACGGTCTCAGTCCGCAGAATCGGAGGAGCACCTGGACGTTGGGTGGCTCAATGTGGCGTAGGACGATCATTAAGTATAACCACGCACTAATCGGTGAAGTTCCTGGAGATTGTGCTGGCGGCATATCAGTGGATCGGCGCTCAGGACTACCATAAAGGTGGCTTCTCAGCACTAATTTCGGCCGGGGTCTGGAAGGGTACATACGTCTCCTGTTCAGGGATCTGCGAATGGTCGTCCCCCCGCTCTACCCCAGTCGAGTCCGTATTCTCTCCTGAGCTTGTACTCAACCTTTCCTTTGTTATCCCATGGTTGCTCTCCGCCGAAAACGCCGCAGCCGTGTTTCCCTTCGGGGTAGCGTTTTCTGACGGTTGCTGTGAAACACCCGCACTGATCCATCCGCTAGGGTCAACCAGCTTCGGAGCACCTTCAACTCGCCGAATCATCTCGGGGCGGAGACTATAGCGGCCGCCACCACGTTTGACGGGCTCCTGCACGACAACGTCGCTGAACGAGCGTAATCGCGTTCTCCAAGGTAGCCTGAAGATCTGCAGCACTTTCTTCCACCAGGGCTTCAGCTTCACGTCTACCGCCATACCGGTCTGTTGCGCCGCCCTGCGCGCGAGCTCAGCCTCTACCAGGTATTGGAACTTCTTCGCGAAGAAAGTTCTTGAATCGTGGTGAGTCTTCAGCGACAAACGATCGTCGGGCGGGCTTACCTCCGGATGTAAACGATTACTAGAGATACGAGGACCTGACATGGAGTAAGTCTCAGTTTTACCACGGAGCAATGGTTGCTTACAGGACTTCCCAAGCACATTTGAATGAACAGCAAGACTTGCTGGAACCCCGTCAATCCACTCAGATCCACAGTGGCGAGGCCGCAAACGGTCATCGCGCTGACGCAATTGAACAGGCAGTCGACATAGGAGACATGGAAGTCGGTATTGGCCGCATACAGGATGCCGGAGAATACCAACGGCGTGAAGGTGCTACATGGACGACCGATGAGTGCATTGTTCCATCCAGGATCGACCGCGACCATGGCAGCGATGAATCCGTCATTGCTCAATCTTCAAATCCTTTATATCACCTCAATTAGGCCGACAACTCCTTTAATCCCTTCCCTCAACCTCAGCCTACCCTTCCCAACATCATCGCCACACTCCCGAGCCAAGATCCTTGAAAAAGTTTAAAACACTCACAAGAATAGCAGATGTACGCGATAGAAGTTGAGATGCTTCCATATGTAACTCTTGAGGCTGCCGAGTCGAGCATAGAGAAACATACGGCTATGGAGCGAGGGCATTTCCTGCTGGGGGGCAGGCAGCAACAACAGTAGGTCGCGGTATAGGGCGTGTGTTAGCTATATGAGCGCAGCATTTGCAAGAGAATCCAGCGAAGACGGTGGACGAAACGTGGGGGTCGAAGAGCAAGATGTGCTCGCCGCCGAACGCGAACTCCCCGGGATGGCGCCTGTCCTTTTTGGGCAACCTCACCGACGCGCATATAGCCTGCCTTGAATGACAGTCGACGAACATATGGCATTCGGATTACTAATGAGTACTACAGTTGGATATATGCGTCCAGATATACAAGGGTCTTGGGGGACGGAGGATCTGCACGATGGGAATTCATGCACGAAACGACTGGCCGAAGCACAGTAGCGTGCAAGGCACGCCATGAACAGAAGGGTCAGCCGAGCGTTCGACTTAGGGGTATGAGCGGAGAGGGTATATGTGCCGGAGGACACGAGCCATCGATTATCGCTCCTGGGGCAGTGGCTGGAAGCGGGTGTAGTACTGCTTCGTCTGTGCCTCCACCATTTCAGGCGTGGACTCTGGAAGATCCTCGACGAACCGACCTGTTCAAATCGATGTCGGAATAGAACCACGACAGCGGCGACAATGTGAGGAGCAACGTACCTGGTGAGCCGGCAAACAACGCTAGAGCTGGCACGACTGTGTTTGGCGGTATGACTGTGTTGTCGGCGATCTTTGCACAGTCCTTGATGATCGTGAACTTCCCCTACGTTCGAGCATGGGTATGTCAGGATTCTGCCCGCAAGATATGAAGCAGTTGAACATACGATGATGCAGTTCTTCCCTATCTCGACATGATTCCCGATTGTCGCAGCCTCTACGATAGAATTTGCGCCTATGTGAACATGGTCTCCAATCTTCATAGGATAGTAGTTGAAGTTGCCCCGATACGTCTTATATGGCGGCCTGCAAGACAGAAAGTGCATCAGAGAAAGAGCTAGTGTGGGCGACGTAGACATCGATGTTGTGAGGAGCATGTACCTCATGACACACCCCTCACCTATGAGACAATATCGCCCTAACGAAATTACGACAGCATGTCCGGGGCCAGTCCGCCTCAAGTCGCCTCGAATGATGGCACCACTTGCGATGATAGTCTTGCCTCCAAGGATGATATTCTGGGGGCCGGAGATGGTAGCCCTACGAGAGACTTTGTTCCCCGTGTCCTGCGCATACAGTCAATACAGCAGATACAATCCAAGGATGGAACAACTCCATTCACCTACCGTCTCTATGTACTCCGCCCTCGTGTAATAGATAGGCAAGTCCATGAGTGTTGGAAAAGTCGAAGTCAAGGTCGAGTTCGAGGTCGAGAGCAAGCTTGGACAACTTCCGAGACACCGAGCGCCACAGGATTGATGCGCGTGCGCAGCCTGGCGCGATCGGCGTATGCGCGCGGTCCGTGCAACTGCATTCCCTCCTCCCATCAACCTGCCCACGATGAGGCCGTCGGGCCCGTCGTTCATCCGTGCAGTTACTTGTTTACGACCTTGTCAGGCCGTAGCGTTCTCGGCTCGACGCGGCCTGACCACTCTATCCCGCCCAAAGCCTCTCGGCCCCTTGCCGCGCAGCAATCTCATCTCGTTCTTCGCGCGACGACGGACAGTAGTTACGACGGAGAGCAGGACACCTCCCACCGCCTCGCAAATCTCTGACGCACCAAAAGCTCCCCCGGAAGAGCACCCCGCCACCGCTAACGACCTACCAGAAGATGAAGAGTACCACGGCCCACTGACGACGACCTTCCGCCGGCTCAAAATCCTCTCCCTCTCCTCCCTCACGCTCACCTTCGCGCTTACGCCCTTCATCTTCGTCCTGGAGACGACATCTTCGGTGCCCGTCGCCGGCCGCTTCGCCCTCGCCGGCATCGCGATGGCCACCTCGGGCGTCTCGACTTTCCTCGTCGCCTGGTGCGGCCGGCCGTACGTCACCACCCTCCGCCGTCTCCCATCCGAGGGCGCAGGCAAGGAGGAGCCAGCGGGTGCGGTTGCGGGGCGCGCGATAGAGATGACGACGCTCACGCTGGGGCTGCATAAACGGGTGACGACGGTGTTCGATACCGCGTTCCTTGTCCCGACCAGCAGGCCGTTCGCAACATGGGAGCTCGCAGAGGCGTTCAAGCTGCCCGACGCGGAGGTCACGAGCGCGCGGGCCCAGGGGCTGATCCCGCGAAAGGAGACAATCGCGGAGACGAGGACGAAGGACGGGGACTTGCTGGGGAGGTGGATCGTCAGCTGGGACGAGAATGGCCTCGGGACGTGCAAGGAGGTCGGGCAGGTTGCGCGGTGAGTGACCCTGCTTCCTCTCAATAGGCCCTGGTTCCTGAACGTGAACCATAGTTATTTCAACGTGCATCAGGAGCTTCTGAGCAGACCCATACGGTGACCCGCCCGAGGGATTGATGCGTCAGGTGCGTGTCACGATACTCAGCAAGTAACCTCGCTCAACGCGGCCACAGTATCATACATGTTGGATAATCTACCTATGTTCCTACGCTCACTCGTCGCTCACTTTTCGCCTGAGACTCCATTCCGACCACTTAGCTTTCAACGCCACAGCATTAGGAGGCAGCTTCGCGCCCCAAGTGATCGCGTAATGGGCAAGGACCAACTCAAGCTCTTCGATCTCGTCCAACATCTCCAGCTGGGATATTCTGGCACGCAAATAAGTCAAACATGTCCACTTCAGATGGGGCGGGGCGCACCGTTGTAGCTCGGAGGGTTCGATCAACTCCCTCCGGATGTCCTTCAACGTTACTGCCCGAGAAATCTCCCAGCCGTGCTGCAGGAAGCGGTTGGCCAGGGAGGCAAAGCTGGGGTAGGCTTGAGCACCAGGCAGCGTGACGTTCCGGGCCTTAATCCGCATCATGGTACCGGGACTGCGCACAAAGGCTTGGAGTGCGTGCTCACCCTCAGATTGTTTACCATGACCTTCCCGAAGGGGTCCTCCAGGGCGAACATCTCGTAGACGATGCATCCGAGCACCGCACCGGGAGCGGAGAAGTAGTCGGTGAACCACCGCAGGAGGGCGTTGCCCGCAGCTGGGCTCATGTATGCGAGCACGCATTCGAAGAGCAAGAGGGTGGGCACGGAAGGGGATAGGAGGGGTTGGGGCTCAGCGGTCAGAAGAGGGACAAGAGACTCGGCAGGTGGGGTGCGTAAGTCCGCGGCAAGGAGATGATACACGGGCGAGTGCAGCGCAGCACCTCCATTCGCTGCATAGCATACGCAACGTCAGATGCCAGCCATGTGTGGAGGGATGACGGGCACACCTAACGAGACGTCCTCCGGCATGCCTAGGACGGCACTGAGCTCCTTGCTCTTGCGTATCGCCATGGCCTTCTTGGTCGTGTTCTCCGCAAAGTCGACCTCGACGTACTTGGCCACGGTATCCTTGTGTGGCCCTGTCTGCCTGAATGCACCTGGTCAACGACTGATCGTGTACGTTGTGTGAAGCACACGCACCGCGATCCTCCAGAAACGCGTATCGCTGCCTGCACCCATGCTCACGATCTGACACTGCGTCCCCTCCTGCTCTGATAGCGCCAGCCACCCATTGACGAGCTCGTCCAACGCCTCCGATCGCACGTACGTTCCGATGTTGATGAGGGGTGGCCGAGGTTGTTGGAGGTGCGGTCGAGAGACGAAGGACGAGATGAACGGATCCGTGAGATATCCTTTGTGCACCGCCGACAGCCGTGCAACCGCGGCGTCGCTGTCGGTCGCACGTATCGCGGCATCGCCCTCTGGCAATTGTTGTCTCGGAGGAAACATCGTAGTAGTCGACGAGCGATGTTGAGGAGGAGTGCGAGTGGCTGCTCCGACTTTCCCGGACAATGTGCCTTTCTAGAAGAGGAAACGTCGCTTACATATGCACCCACTACTAAAGCACAATTTCTTGATTTTCTGGTGGTGTGCCAGCACCACCTTGGCTTGTCCTCTCCTCTTGCTTCGCCATGAACATACCTATGGTTGCGCCGGTGTTTCCAGCGGGGAAGGAGCCTCTCCCTCCAGGGATCACAGAGGAGGAGCGCCAGAACTACCTGCAGGCCAAGAAGTACCAGGACTGGATGACCATGGGCATGGAGTCTTGCGTTGCGAAGACAGTCATCGCGGGAGGTGGAGGTATGTCCATATGCTTATGTTTGCTGGCTGAATCGGTGGTGGGAGTTCACCGACCAAGCAGCGTCTGGATAGGTTTTGTCATCGGAGCGTTCTTCTCGCTCATGAGCTCTTCGTTCGCATACGAGGATCCGATGCTGAGGCAGAACTTGAACACGCAACAAAAGGCGCGCGCGATCTTCAAGGAGATGGGGCAGGGCATGTACAGGAGCGGGAAGGGCTTCGGGAAGGTCGGCGCATTGTTTGCGGGTATCGAGTGTGTGATCGAGTCGGTGAGTAGCCCGTACTGTATCTTCTAAGCATATTTCCAACTCGCCTTGTGCCCAGTATCGAGCACGAAACGACATGGTCAATCCTGTAGCTGCCGGTTTTGTCGCGGGTGGCCTCCTCGCACGAAATTCCGGTCCAAAAGCGGTGGTCGGCGGTGGTCTGGCCTTTGCCGCATTCTCCGCTGCCATTGACCTCTTCCTCAGACGAGAAACCGCTGAGTGAGTGTAGCATGTCTTTTGCGCATACAGCGAGATGCTGATGGCGCTATCTCAGCGAGGATTGATACAGATAGACCGCATGACATTCACGACGCATCTAACTTATACGCCTGTACTCTAGTCCATGCTAATGGTTCTACGCTGCTCCCCGTTCTTGCCCTGGAACATATCACCTTTGTTCATCTGTTCCATGATCCAATGTGATCGTCGAGATGAGTGGATCTGCACAGTGCTTCGCCTAAACGACTGCAGTCTAGAAGCGAGCGAGGGCATGTTTGTTCCTGCGTGGCCGTCCGGGGGAGACCCCTACGACGCAGGGAGCCATTTCGCAGCACGAACAGCATCCGCCGTAGACTTACGTGAAATGCTCGGAATGTCGTGTGACATTAATCTGCGTCTAAGCATGCACCATGGCCAGGAAAGCGGGCACAGACTCAACCACGGTCTTGCCGGACGGAGTCCCCGCAAGCGCACTGTGCCCGAAACAGAAATCCGTGGGCAAACAGTTCGTCGCATGAACGCGACTGCAATGTCTCATGCAACGCACGGTATGATATTTCACTGTCGCCGCAACAAAATCGCCTGAAATCACCGTGCACTTGATTAGAGATGCGCTTGACCTTGGCATGGCACCCATACTCAGTCTGGGTCTTCACATCTTTGGGAACCGGAGGCTCGGCTGTAGGAATTGGTCTCTGCGATGAGTCAAGTCGCACTCAGAGCAGGGAATTTGAAATGCATGCTGTATAAAGGGAGTTTATGATAGAAGCGGCTACGCAGAGTGAAGACTGCAGAAGCGGAGGTGAGGACTACAACTTCGACTTCGCTCCGGTGACTCCAGCGTCCTCCAGCGTCTTGTACGCGAGATGCCCCATATACGGGAACCCGAGCACATACGTATACGCCCTCTCCGAGCTCGCCTGTCGCCGCGCATATCGCGCCGCAATACCCTGCATGATAATCGCGCTCTGTGGTGCACAGGCAATCAACAGAGTCCCCTAGAGATAGAGAGAGCGCCATGCTCACCCGGAACAGCATCCAACTGCGCGCAAACACCATCTCCGGTATCGGGTACGGCTGGTTCGTAACACGGCAATACTCCCGCTCGAGCTCCTCAAGCTCGATAGGCGCGTCCTTGGCGTTGTTCTTGAACGTCGCCGTAACGCTGCCCCCGCTGGGGAAGCTATCAGGTGCGATCGCCCACGGCTGGGTGAAGTTCGCCAGATCCGCGAGCTGCCGTCGCACCTCATCAGCCATGCCCTCACGCGTATCCAGTCGAACCGCGAGACAGGACGCACCGGACTCCCTAATGTACACAGCTCCCAATCCAGGATGCCAATCACTCGGTTTTCCGTCGGGTGGAAGACCAGATTGTCGAGTTTATAGTCCCCGTGGACGACCCTCAGGCCTGTCTTGCGCTCGTCGGGGAGGTTCGCTTTGTACCACTCAATCATCTCCGCAAATCGCGGGATCTCACCAGTCGGTCTACCCGTCTCGACATCGACCGCCTGCGCCTGAGCTTGAGAGACAGCGGTGAGGGACTTGATCTGCCGCGGGAAGTAGGGCGAGTTGGACGCGAAATTGGATAGCCCGAGAGCGGCGGGGTCGAGCAGCGCGAGCAGGCCGAGGACGCGAGCTGCCGAGAGCCAGCTGGTGACCACAATAGTAGAGTATGAGCTGACAGCTCATATATGCGCGCCATACTGCGTGGAGGGCGTACCATTCTCGCCGCGTCTCAGGAGAGACCTCCGGCATGCGCGGGTCCGTGAATATCCGTCCGTCCAGGAACTCCATAATATAGAACGGCGTGCCGATAACGTTCACGTCTTCGCAAAGAACGATGGGCTCCGGTATGGGCACCCTCTTATCCACGGGCGTAGATGGGTTCGTGTTGTGCTTGTGCAGCGCGCGGAGCATGGTGTACTCGCGCTCGACCTGGTGCGCGGTCTTGGAGAGCAGCTGCCCTGCGGGCTTCTTGCGGAGCACAAACCGTTTCTTGCTATACCAGCCGTCAGCGCGCTCAATGTAGGAGGACTAAAGGACGACGGACCTCGCATCCGTGAGGAAGTATGTGGGATTAGACTGTAGTCCCCATCTTCAAGACGCGTCCATAACATCAAAGGAGCCTCGCTCACCTGCCCGAACTGCGCATACACCCCCATATAAGCCTCCTTAAAGAGCGTGAAGCGGGGAAGAAACGCACCTTGAACTGCTTGATGTCCACGGGCACCGTGATAGCGGCGACGTGCGCCTTCAGGTATGCATTGAGCTTATCCCCGTCAATGTTGGCGCGCACGTCGCCGTATTCTCCTCCAATCTTCTTTGTGGACGACATGCTCGCTGGTCTGAGGGTCAAGGAGGTCTGTGGTATGTGGTGGGTGGCCCGAGGGGGAACATTCCGTGCCTCCGGTAACTGGAAGTGTTGTAGCCGGCGTCGGTGATCATGGGAGGCGGCGTCAGGAGACCACCCGCTCTCACATGCCTGAATCACTTCGAATTCAGGTTGCTTGTCACCGCCATCAATGCTCTCTGCTCGATGCTCTCAGCATTCTATTCCACATTCTCGAGCATGCGCAGCTATCGGTTAGTTTGGAGTCACCGCAAAGGATGCCATCGAAATGTAGTCTCGACGAAGCCCGTGGTCCCGGGTCATTGGTCTGCAGCATGGGGTCCAGTAATGTTTCGTGATACAGTAGAAACGTGAGCATTATTAACCATAATATATGCCGTCTTTTGTGCGCGAAGGAAGTCAATCACCAGGGAATAGTGAATGAAATGCATATTCATAGACACCGCGGCGGCGCGTCCAGCTTGTCCGTAAGATGCAAGGTCATTTCACCGAGTGCGCTTCACATACAATTGGTACCACTTGTCCTGATTCGAAGCCGTCAAGGCCGTCGACTATCAGGGGCCTCTGTGATCGCTGGCGATGTGGTATGCATCCTCTAAGGTTGTAGCGGAAGTGCAGATGACTCAATTCACACAAGCAAAGTTCGAGACCAGCCAAGGGATATTATCGTGCAATACTGTGCGAGGTAATAAGTACACACTAATGCAAACACCAGCGCGACATGCGTGGAATATGAGACACCGAGATTGCAGAGAGACAACAGGAGGGAATCGCATCGCAGGATGAGCAGCCAAAGAAGACAGTCGACGGTGAGCGAGGGTTCACGCACGAGCGTGTCGGATGGGGCATGGGAGCACGGAGGGATGTGGGATGGATGTACAGCAGGTGTTAGGGGAGGGGGAATCGCGAACAGCACGGATACAAGAATGGATGGATGGTGACGATGCAGGAGACGCGAGGGAAGGTGATGGGAAGTAACGTGAGGGAATATAATACGAAAGTCTATGTACCGATGGCCTATGATGTCAGGAGCTCGAGCAGCTTGTCTTTGTCCATAGACTTGTCTGCAAGTCGCGTCCGGCGCTCCTCGTCCTCGTGCAGGTGGGTGCCCTTGACCATGATCGCAAAAAGGTCCAACGCTTTGGGGGCGTCGATGACGATGTCATCGAGGATCTCCGCCGTTGGCAAGAACCCTTCCTCAAACGATGCGGGCGAGCACAGATTCCGAGAGTGTGCGCGATCGAAGAGACCCGCCACGAGCTGAGCGTCCGCTTCCTTCGACTCGATCGCCTTGGTGACGAGCTTGTCGACAAGTAGATGCCGGTGTTCCGACGGAAGCTTCGTGAAATACACTTCCGCTTCTTCCAGATCGCGGATAGAGAAGAATTCCTTCGAGTCCTCCTCGATACGCGTCTTGGCCTCGGACTCGGACATTGACGGCGCGCCAGAGGGCTCTTCTTCGCCCTCGTCCTCGGAGTTGGCGGTCGACGCAGCAGGAGTCGATTCCGACTTGTTCTCGAGTGGCACTGAACGAGGCAGAAGCTGGAGCTTCCTCCGCTGAGGAGCGGCACCTTCTGGGGCACCGCCAGAGCCAAGGTCGATAGAGCTCTTGCGGCTGGGCGGTCGACTCGACTTTGCAGACGTGACCTCCGCAGCGATTTCGGGGTTACCGCTGAGCATCGAGAACATATTCGTCGAACCTTGACGGATGGTCGACTCGCGGCTCTTCGACTTGTCACCCTTTTGGAAGACAGAGCTGGGGCCAAAGGTCATAGGCGCCGACTTGTCGATCTTGCCGAACTTTGACAGGTCGCCAGCCTTTGGTGGAGGACGAGCAGCAGGACCACCAGCGACAGCCCAACCGTCGGGACCGATCTGAGCGTGCTCTCCCCTGTCGCCGCCACGTCTTGACCCTCCGCGGGACATGCTGAGTGTGCGGTTCATGGCCTCGTTCTGCTGAGCGAGCTTCTCTTTCGCAGCCTATACCCGTACAGCGTAAGCCGTTGAACCTTCTCTGGGGCTTGATTGAGAGCGACGTACCTGTTCGTGAACAGCAGCCAGCGTGGTCGGCGCGGCCATCTGGTTCCTCGGAATCCACTTGCGCTCGCGCAACTCGATAATGTCCTACATGAAGTCGGCATTAGTCTGCGTATTGCGGACACCTTATGAGAATATGCGTACCTGCAGCATGAACTGCATGCGCGAATTGACGTTCGGACTCTTCGTTAGCTCCTTCATCCGCGAGAAGTATACGTCCATGTGCGCGCGGGCCTTGGGGGTATCCAGGATCTGGCCGACGGTCGTCAAGAGCTTGCACAAGCTCTCGATTTCCTCCTCCTCGGGGTTCTCGACGTTGCCGAGCAGCTTCTTGACACACTCGTGCATGATACGCTCCGTGAGCATCTGCAGCTTGAACAGCTCGCCGATAAACTTGATGAGACCGAGTCCCTGACGCTTTGCCTTCTGCGCAGCGTAATACTCTTCCGAGTATAAGGCGCTCTCCCCATTCTCGTTGCCCTCGGCGGCAGCCTTTGCAGCCTGGTCCTCGGATGCCTTCGTCGCGGCCGCGGCCGCAGTAGCCTCCTTCGCGACCCAACCGCGCTCGAAATCCTCTTGACAGCGGTTGAGCAGATATTTGCGGAAGAGCTGGCCGCCGGCGATGGGCTTGCCCTCGGCGTTCTTGATGCCATCGTCACGGACGTTCGGGCTGATCTGCTCCATCATCTTCCTACAAAGACGAGCGTACATCTCGGACCACGTCGCCTCATCCGTCGCCTTCTCGAACACCAGTCGAATGACCTGGATCAGCGTGCGGCCGTCCTTCTCCTTCTCCGACCTGTTCGCCCAGGCGATGATCTGGTCGGAGATCGAGTCGAACCGCTCCATGGTGAGCTTGTTGAGCAGCGCACGGACCTTACGGTCGACGACTTCGGGCGTCTCCGCCTCAACGGGCTGACCCTTCTTCGTGAGACTGGCCGGCGTCCAGCGGTTCGCAGAAAGCTCGAGGGGCGCAACGGGTTCCAGGTTCTGCTGACCAGCAAGCGAAGACGACGGCCCGAAGGCGTTGCCTTGGCCTGACGACGGCGGACCAGGCCGCTCCTTGTCGCGCTTGCCGCCGCGTTGACTCCGAGTACGACCGCTGCTCGAGTGTCCGGGACCGCCCTGACTCGACGAGCGGACCATCGGAGGGGGACGTCCGAAAGGCATTCCGGCCTGAGTGCCCGACATGGACGTTGAGCGATTGGACGCAGCGAAGCGCTCTTCGCTTGACAGCTTCTGCGTAGGCGTAGAGAATTGGCCCATGGTGAAGGGGTTAACGGAGGGCTTGTTGAAACCAGATATACCGAGTCCGACGGAAGCTTGTCGGGAGGGTGGAGGCATCGCGGTGGAAGAGGAGCGACGGCCGTGAGAGCCACCGCGGGTCAGAGCGAAACTCTGATCGACCGGCTCGAGACCAATTGCGTCAAGAGGAGGGAGAGAATCAGGCTTTTCCTTGCAGACAGCCATGAACTGCAGCAAGAAATCGCGATCATACCTTGAATGGTGAATGTGAGCATCGCCGTTTAACGCATGAAAGACAACAAACGTACCGGAACTTGCCCTGCTTCGCGTTGACGTTGAGCTCAGGCTTCGGGCTCTTGACACCCTCAGGGTATTGGATGCTCCCGATGTCTTCGATGATGCGCGCAGTGGCCAAAGCAGACGGCAAAGCGGCGGGGATGCCCTGGCCCTTGGCGCCCGACAGGTCGAGCCGACCAGGGCGACGCTTGCCGTCTGAGGATGTGAGCGTGGTATCGATGCGAAGGGGCGCCTTGTCAGACACTTGATCTTTGGCTTCCTCCTTGGTTGCTTCGTCCGTGGCCTCCGCAGCTTGTTCAGACTCCTGAACTTCACCCTCTTCAGGTTCAGTCTTCGTCGCCTCGGCAGCAGCCGCGGCCACAGCAGCCTCAGCCTCAGCCTTGGACTTGGCCTTCGCCTTCTCCTCTGCTTCGCGGGCTGCACGCTCCTCCTCCTCCCTCTTCGCCTTCTCCTCGGCAGCTTTGCGAAGACGCTCAGCAGCCTCCTCCTCCTTGCGCTTGCGTTCCCTCTCTTCCTCCTCGCGTAATCGTACCTTATCCTCTTCCTCCTTCCGTATCCGCTCCTTCTCCTCCTCTTCTCTCCGTACTCGCTCCTCCTCCTCACGCTTAGCCTTCTCCTCAGCCTCGCGCTTCGCCTTCTCCTCGGCCTCCTTCTTTGCCCTCACCTCAGCCTCCTTCTTCTCCTTCTCCGCTGCCTCCTCAGCTAGCCGCTTCTGCTTCGCCTCCTCGGTCTCCATCCGGATTTGGACGGGCCTGCGCGCAGGCGAACTTGGGACGATGGGCGATAAGATGGCCCCCGGTGCCTGCTTCTTGAAACGCTCCAGGTCGACCTCCTGCCCGGACTCGGATTTGATCACCACACGTTTCGGCGTGAAGGCATTCGCATTCGAGTTCAGACGGGAGATGCCACCACCGGGAGCATTGCTCGATGCGGGGGTCGAAGGGGTCGACGAAGAAATACTGCTGAGACTAGCAGTGTGTGTGTGTGGAGAGGGGGTAGAATGGGAAGGGTGGGCGTTCGGGGGCAGAGCGGGAGTGCCTGGCGCGTGGAGTGGCGGCTGTTGTCCCCTCGGTGACATCGGTAGACCAGGTATAGGAGCCCCCGGTGGTCCCTGCGGTGGATGTGGTTGCGGCATGTGTTGCGGCATCCACTGCGGCGGCGGGTACGGGTTGTAATTCGGGTCCATCGGCATCCCGGGGTAGTACTACACGTGCGTTCGTCAACGTCGTAATAGGCCGTATGTGATTTTGCGGAACAACTTACGTAGTAACCCCATTGCGGTACGGGCACGGGTGCGCCCGGTTGAGCGTGGGGAACAGGTTGCGGTTGACCACCGTGAGGTGGCCCCATCCGAGGGCTCGGCATGGCTGTAGGCATCGTGCCTGATGGAGGTCCGCCTGGAGGTGCGGGTGGCCGCCCGTTGACGTTGCCGTTGGGCATCTGGCGAGGGAAGCTGGGCGACCTTGGTACCCCCGGACTCGCGATGGGCACGCCGTTCTGCTGCGGCCGGAAGTTGCTATAAGGAGCGCCCATCTGCGAAGGCGGTGATTGATGCGGTGGTTGTCCTTGCGGGCTCAGCGAGGACTGGGGAAGCGGCGTCGTGCGGTGCGAGGGGGAGGCGGATGCGGCAGAGGAGGACGATGCGGCATCCGATGTCTTATTTTGGAACAGACTTTTCACGTCGAACTTGGCGGCTTTGGGGGTAGACGTAGAACCGGATGTCGACGGTGCGGCTGATGACGACGTCGAAGGCGCGGTCGTTGACGCTGATGAAGTCGATGCCGTTGCTGCAGCACCTGACGAAGGCGTCCCTGTCGAGAACGAGATTGTCCGCGTGTGGATTTTCCCGTTCGTGTTCGCTGGTACCGACCCGAAAGTCTTGATCCCCTCTGACTTTATCGTCGGTGCGGCCGCGGGCGAAGACGAGATCGGTGCATTGGCGTCGTCGATGGACCCGAAGGTCACCGATGAGCCTGGAAACGGGTGAGAACCTGGCCTCCCAGGCTGTGCACGAGGGACCGACGACGCACCTGATTTTGACGCATTCGAAGGCGTACGTGCTGCTCCTACTCCATCTTTGAACGCTACGCCCTGTCCTAGCGTGCTCGGTCGTCTAGAGTGCGTGGGGGGTGCTGAAGGAGAGGTAACAGAAGGAGCGGGGGATTGCGATCTAGGCGACGGCGCTGTCGAGGTATTCGCTGGCGGGCCCTTTGCCCAAGCCGACTTTGACGGTAGCTGGGACGTCTTTGGTGCAGTGGCCGTTGAGGATTTGCTCATTCTGGGCGGGGATGAGTTGGATACTGAAAAGCAGGGATAAAGACTCACGAAATGCAGCGATGGGTTTGATTGATAATAATTTGGCGTGCGTCGCGTGAAGGTCGGTCGTGAAAGCTGACCTGCCTGCAGGCGAACGAAAGGTCGCGAGTAGGATCTAAAGACTCTGAAATCCGGATGCTGGACGGTCAGCAATCCGTAGTATGTCTGTCCAGGTGGAAGACGGAGACAAGCTGCAACGAGGACCTCGGAACAAAAAATCAGGGCCTGCAGCTAGGACCCCGGAAGATCTGGCACCCCGCAGTGACATCACCCCGAATATCTCATACAACACTGGAGCATCACAAAACCTAACAAACGATACCAATAACATGACAAACGCTACGGATTGGGAGTGTAGAAGCACAGGACGGACATTTGTGAACCTAGTGGGGCGTACTCCGACCGGGAGTTGGGGGATGAGGCGATGGTCTCTGGGATGGCTAAGGCTTGACAATATCGTTCGGATCGATTACCGAGGACATTATGAACCGAGGGCTGCTTTTATGTTTTGTACTACACATCGTTCGAACATAGGGATCCGAGCAAGCTGTTACTAATAATAGAACACCACGCATCATTTGGACGTAGCGCAGAAGCGGTAAGTACTTGAAAGCGCCGAATTGTGCTCGAAGTATTACCTCCTTTAGACGGCATAGCTACCGCGTCTAGTCCTCGCTTGCAGCAGAGTCCTTCGAGTCGCAACCCGTACGAAACCGCAAGAGACCCACCGGATCTGTGAGTTGTGGTGCAGCGGGCTCTTCGCTAAGCGCGCTACTAGTGTACGAGGGCCATTGGTGGTCGAGATATAAACGGCACGGTGTTGAGGAACTCGGTTTCAGACCGCCTACGCAAGGATTATGATCACTGAGGGTGCAACCCAAAGTCGACAGAGTGTCTATCTCTGCGGCTTGGGAAAGTCTGTCCAACGACGGTCATCTAGGGCTGAATACAAACGAGCACCAACAACCTTTACCCGGGACCACATCCTTCAACTGTCTGTAGGACACGCCCGGGGTGCATGATGAAAATGCGCAACACGGAACCGATGACCGGTCGGCGAGAAAGGGAGGCAGGAAGCAGTTTCCCGCCCATTTTAGATGATTTTTGTCTAGAACGGCCATATTTACATGACAAGTCTACTTCGCGCTTCCCCTTCTCGTCAACGTTTCACCTATCGAACATAGCTGTTTGTATACAGCGCGATGATGATGAGCGGACTCAGAAAACGCGCCCACAACTTATACCATTGACTCGGCTGGCAAGCCGTCCACACGACTGCTCACCACATGTCCCCCCTGAACCACCGCGAAGAGATGGTTCTCTGGGCGATCCAGAACCCTCACGTCTTCCAATGGGTTTGCATCCAACACCAGCAGGTCGGCGTAGTTCCCTGCAGTGATTCGCCCTAGCTTGGGATCTCCCAACATGGTCGCTGAAACGGATGCAATGTCATGGGCTGTGACAATCCACAAACATTGGGCTAGGGCACCAACCTGCGTTGGTGGTGGCGTGCTGAAGGACCTTCGCCGCAGGAAGGACCGAGCTGCGGACGGTAAACTAGAGTTATCTCAGCAGGCTGTGCATGGAGTTGAAGCTCGTGGGCAGCACTGACCTCTTCAGTTTGCAAAGCATGCATCGATGTGAGCAAGTCGGATCCACTAGGCACGAATCATTACTACAGGCGCAGCATCCAGAGGAGAAACCCAGCGCTTACTAGCAAATAGTGACCCCAACCTCATCTGCGATCTTGAGTGCATCCAGGCCTCGCGACATGACTTGTGCGTTCTTCAACTTGCCGTCTGGCGATAGGAAGTCCTCAAAAGGAGGACGGACCATGATCCCGTAACACGAGAGGGTAGGTGTCAGGAATATGCCCTTCTCCGCCATCCTGTGCGGTCCGGTTAATATGAGATTACGACTCTTCGGCCTACTCACAGTTGAGCTGTCTCGCGGCTGATGAGATTCCCATGCTCGATGCCCTGAACCCCATTGTCAATCGCATGACGTACAGATGCGTCCGTATACGCATGCGCCGTCGCTACACATCTGCGCGTTAGCCGTGCTGCTCCCAATAATCACGCCATCGCGTACTGTGCTTGTTACCCATCTGCTTGCACGTCCTCGTGATCGCCTGGATCTCCTCCGCAGTGAACTGGACGGACTCTATCGCGTCCGTGGGCGACGCGACGCCGCCGCCGCACATGATCTTGATAAAGTCCGCGCCACCCTTCAGCTCTTCCCGCGTCGCCTTCAGCACTTGCGGCACACCGTCGGCAGTGCGGCCCAGGGATTGTGAGTGCCCCGCACAGCAGCCTGAGCTACTGCCGCAAGGTCCAAAGTCTGCGTGACCACCTGCATGGAATGTGAGCATACGCTATGACAGCGGTGGTACGTTGGACTGACCGGTCTGAGAGAGTGCCTTGCCACATTGGACGAGGCGGGGCCCTAGGACGAGACCTTCAGCAATGGCCTCAGCCAAAGCCCTGCTAGCGCCGCCTGCGTCCTCCCGATGAGTCTATGAAGCAACAGACGGTCGGTGCTACGTACCCGTATCGCGAACGGTTGTAAAGCCGCGCAAAAGCATCTCTTCCGAGCGCACCTCAACTCAGATTCTTTGTTCAGACGGAAAGGGAATACTGACCACGCAAGACGTAGGTCGACCTCAAGTGTACCAGCTGCTCTGGCGTCTGGACGAGCTCCGCCATCGACTTCACGCCCGGCACTGCCGTCACATGGACGTGGCAGTCGATGAGTCCCCTGCGACATGTGTCAACGAGCTCGGCAGCGGTCCACGTCGTCACTCGACGCACGGGCAGAGGAACTTTCCGGCCAGGTCAACCGAAACAACTGGCGGATCCTTCGGGGTAATTCCGGGCTGCACACCAATCGGGGTCACAGAGAGGAAGAGCCCGTTCTCTATGACTACGTCCTGTGGACCAGTGTTGTTATGACCCCGTCATGACCCCGAGTCATGACCGTTGACGGCCCGGGTCATCGGTCATGACCGAACGGTCAAAGGTCAGCACGTGATCGCAGAACGCGGCGGCAAGGCGAGTCTACCATATAATGGGCATGTAGTAGCGAGTCTATCGAAGATATAGATTGAATTGCTATTGCACTGGGCATAGTTTATGAACGTTATATGAATCAATTAGAGTGACTCTATGTAGTACAACGAAGAGTAACTTGAGGCATACAAGTGTTGCAGGGGTAAGCAGACTGTGTTCGGAATACAAGGCATTCGGAGAGTCCATAAGCAAATGTCGTCAAGAGGTCCTTCAGTGTGTGAGAACTCTCTGCGTGCCCGTTACATAGCATACTGTGTTCCGAGCACGGTCTCCTCATCATAGTGTAGAACCTTGTGCTCAAGAGTCCTCTTACATGCATTCCAAAATGCAGCTGCATTATTTTCCGTCACAGGAGCAGAGACATTAGAGGTATAATTAAAGGGAAGGAGGCGAGTGAGGGGCCTCTAGAAAAGAAATTCAAATGGCTGAAGGAGGGCCAGGGGCTGCAAGCTGGGGTGTGCGGCCGCGTCTCTCTCCGATGAGTGCCAGTGGTCATGGGCGACAGCACAGAGATTCCAATACATCCTTCCCATCAGCCCTTTGGTTGTGAAGCATAGACAATCAAAAATTCAAATCATACGAGGATAGAATGCAGTACAACATTTAGTTGCAAGCTTAGACTAACAACGCGCCGGTATAGCGTGCTGAACGGATCCGCGCGGCAAGCCCCGAGTGTGGCGAACACATCACGTGTTGACTCATGACCATCGGTCATGACCGCTTGACTTGACCGATCGCGTCATGACTTGACGAAAAGGTCATGACCTTGACTTGACCCGTAACAACACTGCTGTGGACCTTGCAACAGCGTTGACCGAGCAGGATCGATAACCCGCGCGTTCCGTAGGATCAGGGATGGCGGACTCGGTTGCACCCAAGGTTTGAGTGCAAGTTTGGGCAAGCTATGAGAGATCGTCAGCGATGGGGAGGGGATATGATAAAGGGCAATCACATGGCATCTCTCGTCTTGTCAGGGGAGCCTGGAAAGTGTGCCATTTGCTCGATAGGCTGTTGGTCGAGGCTCGATGTGCTAGGATGTAGTTGCAAGCAGCCAAGATGCGAGGTGGTGTGCACACAGATGGTGGTTGAGTTCAATACGTAGCACCCTTTGGCTGGGAAGAGAACTATGATTAGCCATCGCGGTGTGAACGCGAACTTCGGAGGACTTGTTGCCGTGAGCGCTGTGAAGTTCGCACGACTTTGAGTAATTGTCTCGAGTCGGATATGCGGCCTACACAAAGGGAATCAATGGTTGAAGCTGGGTGCACTGTATACCAGACATTAGGAAAGCAACAAAGCACTGTCACGGCCTCGGCCGCCACCGCGTCGGGACTTTGCAAGGTTACTCTGGTTGCCGATTACACACCGCTCGATGTCCGGTGATATATCAGAGAAACGTTAGCAATGTTTTCGGTCATTGCAAGACGGTGGACGTTGTAGTGCCAGGGAATGAAGGTGCCAGTGAAGCTGGATGATTGATGGTGTACATGGCAGAAATGTTTTGGGTTATTTTGCCGGCACCGGGGGCATTGGACTATAGGACGACGTGTCCCATTGTAGAGGTATCGTGGTCCGAGCCACGTTGAGACAGACATGCCGCGCCGTGTCCCACATTTATCCCACGCCAGCCGCACACTGCACATTGAATCAAATCAGCATATAACGCGGTTTTATGAGACCTCCCAAAGGGGATTACGATGGGATGCGCAACTAGGTCATAATCCTACAGTGGCTCTGATTGCGATGGGGTTGCGATGGGACACGATGTGCCATAGGTCGATGCCCCCGGTGCGGCAAATATGGCAAATACGGCGGTTGCCATTCAAGCACCCACTTGAAGAGACATCGAGTCTGGAGGAGGTTTCGGTTGACACACATTCGTCGGAGTGCACGAGGTGTAGCTGCAGCGTTCTCAAGAGGCTTACTCTTTCCAGTGTGCCAGAAGTCTGCCTCGGATGGATAAAGTCGGGCGTGAAGCGCTTAATAGCCCAATTCCGGAAGATTCCAGGAAGCCGGGCGTAACCGAGCTTGCTGATGTAAGCTTACGCATTACAAAAATTCAGGTAAGGATACGCTGGCAGCATCCCCTTCCTTTCCACATCCACCATGTTTGCTGCTGCTCGTTCCGTTCGTCTCGCTGCCTCCCGCTCCGGCAACTATGCGGTGAGCGCATTCCTACAAAAGTGACCAGTTGTGAGAGAGCTGACGTGTGAATAGGGCCTCCCGCGGTCGATGATCGCCAGGAACATGAACTCCAAGGTCAATGGTAAGCTGTTCGCTGGCACGCGACTTTTACCTTGGCGTAGAGTCCTGACGCATACTCGTAGGCCCCGTCGTTGGTATTGATCTTGGAACAACAAATTCTTGCGTCGCCGTCATGGAGGGCAAGACTGCGAAGGTGATTGAGAACTCCGAGGGCGCGCGGACAACACCCTCGGTAGTTGCGTTCACGAAGCATGGAGAGCGTCTCGTCGGCCTTCCTGCGAAGCGGCAGGCAGTTGTCAACTCCGCGAACACCGTGTTCGCCTTCAAGCGTCTCATCGGCCGTCAGTTCAACGATGCCGAGGTGAAGCAGGACGCCGCGCATTGGTGAGTCTCCTCATACTTTTCTGTGCTCTTAGACTGCCCTGGTGTATGCCGCATGCTCTTCCGCTCCGACTTGCTTGTCAATTTTCTCGTGATGAGCGTATCGACGTATCGCTCTGGTCATATGCCGTTTGGCCGTGTCAAGGGATTACGATCGTCGGTGTATATGGGTCACTGCCCTGGGAAAGTTGTCTGTCGTTGGCGCATTTGGCCAGACGAGGTGGTCCTTGGAGGGAAGTATGACTGAGAGAAGCGGACTGGGATTGAGTTGGGTATTGGTAGTCGTCTCACGTACTCCGCTACTTGCCGTTTGATTACTGCGGGCAAAGCAACATGGTTGTGCTAACCGCCTCGATCTTTGCAGGCCTTTCAAGATTGTCCCGAAGCCCGACGGCAGGCCAGCGGTGGAGGTGACGAATGGCGACAAAAAGCAACAATTTGTGAGTGCGTCCGTCTACCGAATAGATCATGCAAATCCTGATAGATCCATGTCAGTCCGCTGAGGAGCTGTCGGCGATGGTTTTGACGAAGATGCGTGATACCGCGGAGCAGTACCTTGGCAAGAAGGTCAAGTAAGTGGTCTACGGTTTACTATGTTATGTTACGTTATTGATGCCTATATGCAGCCATGCCGTTGTCACCGTCCCGGCCTACTTCAACGACGCTCAACGGCAAGCAACGAAAGACGCGGGAACCGTTGCTGGTCTCGATGTCCTCCGTGTCATCAATGAGCCCACTGCGGCCGCCCTCGCGTATGGTCTTGACCGTGCGGACAACTCCATCATCGCCGTGTACGATCTTGGCGGTGGAACCTTCGATATCTCCATTCTCGAGATGCAGAAGGGCGTGTTCGAGGTTAAGTCTACGAACGGAGACACTCACCTTGGAGGCGAGGATTTCGACATCTACCTCGTGGAGCACATCCTCAAGGAGTTTAAGAAGGAGTCCGGTCTTAGCCTCAGCGAAGACCCCGTCGCCATCCAGCGTATCCGCGAGGCTGCGGAGAAGGCCAAGATTGAGCTTTCGTCTACTACCCAGACGGAGATCAACTTGCCCTTCATCACTGCTGACGCGTCTGGTCCTAAACACATCAACATGAAGATCATACGCTCGCAGTTCGAGAGCTTGACGTCGCCCCTCATCCAGCGTACCGTCGACCCGTGCAAAAAGGCTCTTGCGGATGCTGGCGTCAAGGCGTCGGAGGTCAACGAGGTCATCCTCGTTGGTGGTATGTCCCGTATGCCCCGCGTTGTGGAGACGGTCAAGTCCATCTTCGGTCGTGAGCCCAGCAAGGGTGTCAATCCGGACGAGGCCGTCGCGATCGGCGCTGCCATCCAGGGTGGTGTTCTAGCTGGTAACGTTACAGATATCCTACTCCTCGACGTCACTCCTCTCTCGCTTGGTATCGAAACCCTTGGTGGTATCATGACGAAGCTCATCACGCGCAACACGACCATCCCCACCAAGAAGACACAGACGTTCTCGACGGCGGCGGACGGCCAGACCGCGATCGAGGTCAAGATCTACCAGGGTGAGCGTGAGCTTGTCCGCGACAACAAGCTCCTTGGCAACTTCAACCTCGTCGGTATTCCCCCGGCACCGAAGGGCATCCCTCAGATCGACATCACCTTCGACATCGATGCTGGTATGTACTGCGAGGTGTTCATAGCGATTCGTTCGTTGCTGACGTCATGGCTCTGCAGATGGTATCGTCCACGTGACCGCCAAGGACAAGGCTACTGGCAAGGATCAGTCGATGACCATCGCGTCGTCGTCCGGTCTCTCGGACAAGGATATCGAGCGCATGGTCTCCGAAGCTGAGGAGTACGCTGAGACCGACAAGGCGCGCAAGCAGCTCATAGAGGAGGCGAACAAGGCGGACTCGGTCTGCGCCGACACCGAGAAGGCGATCAACGAGTTCAAGGACCAAATCGACGCGACGGAGAAGGAGAAAGTCATCAAGCTCATCGCGGAGCTGCGCGAGCTTGCCGTCAAGGGCCAGGCGGGTGACGCCTCCGTCGACGCCGACAAGATCCGCGAGAAGGTCAATGAGACCCAGCAGGCGTCGCTCGGTCTCTTCCAGAAGGTGTACGAGAAGCGCAACGCGGAGGGTGCTGCGTCGTCCGAGCAGCCCGCGTCGGAGAACAAGGAGGAGAAGAAGGATTAAGTTCCCACTCTTTTCTTGCCTCGCCTCCTCTCGCTCCCCACTCGTCTCCCATCTCGCCGCGCCTTCTCCCCTACCCTCATCGACCTCGATCGTCTATCGTCCAGTGCTTGCTGTTGATAGATGACTGTCGCTTTGTCTGCGCAGCTGTGATGCGCTCACTGCTCTAGTCGTCCTCCGCTTCTCGTCGTCGCAACCACCCTCAGCAGCATCCATAGTTTAGATACTTACGACACCCCTCATAGCAAAAGTATCCTCGTTTTATTGTCAGTACGTTATGATCCATGCCCTTACGCACTTAGTCCCCCGCTGTACTGTACAAACTCAGTACTGTGGGGTGTTCACGCGCTATGCTTTAGCATATCGACCATCTCCCAGCTCAGCAGCATTTTTCCTTGCAACATCTTTTGGATTGCTTTGGTAGCTTAGTTGTACGTGGCTGTCTTTCGCAGCAATGTATTCACAGCATTGACATGCATGAGTCGCCGAGTGTGTGAAGCTTCGCGAGTCTCTGTTTGCAAAAGCGGTTACAGCTAGAAACAAGGCAGTAAACGGACTGTGGGTGCAGAATGTACCGTTGTGATCAGAACAAGTTGTAAGTACTGGTACTGACGGCTCCAGTCTGGTGCTCCAACTACAGGGAGAGGACGCAGATACCGTTCCGCGGCCGGCGCATGATGACAAAATTCGGGAATTCGGATGAGAAATGCCGAAGCTATGCAAACAATTGTCCTTCGAAAGTGGGGACCGATCCTGAGCAGAGCAGAAATGGAGGCGGAGGGCAGACGGCCCCTACCATACACAGGGGGCTGCATGGGCGAAGATCTCCCCACGCTTGGCCTTCTGGGGGACCGAAGGGACGTTGCGGGAGGCGTACGTCGCCGTAGTACTCGATATCCCGGCTATGTGCGACGCAGCCGTGGGCGACTGCGAGTCGATGTTGATGGGTGTCCCGATTGTCCCGCTCGATACAACCCGTACTAGGTTCTCCTCATACCCGAGCGGTGTCGACGGCGACGCACTTGACGCGGGCGACGTAGACGTAGACATAGACAACTCGGGAATATCGGGCGAGGACGACGCGGAAAGTGATAGGGCACCCGCACGCACAGGCACAGGCGGGGGCAGCGGCTCCTGCGGCGAAGTCGATGGCGGCTGCTGCGAGTGTGCAGCGAAAGATGGAGTGGGTGCAGGACCCGTTTGAGCGTTGTATGGCGTCGTCGAGGGCATGGGTGAGGGAGCGGGGGAAGGAAGGACATACGTCGGGAAGGGCCCGAGGCCCTTGAAGTCACGTCGTACCTTCGCCTCGAACTCCTTCAGCGCGTTGGGCTCGATGTTGAGCTGCCACTCCAAATACGAGCACATTTCCCGCTCCATTTGGTTGATTTCCCTTAGGGCGAACATACCCTGGCCGACGATCGACCAGGACTTGTTGGAGTAAGTGTCGCCGTAGATCACCTTCGACGCGATCATGAACGCCGATATAAATAGACGATGGCCTGAGGAACCCCGCGCGGCAGGGAACCGGGCTTTTAGGCGTTGTAGCAGATAGAGCGCGGCAAAGGTGACCGACGAGTGTAATCGTGTACGATGGAGGGCGTACGCGATAAAGTTCGCCAGGGGAGGGGAGGGTGCGGGAGGCACGGCGGTGGATAATGGAGGCAGATCCGGACACGCAAACAAATGCGTGACGAATCTAGCACACAGTTTCGCGGTCTCTTCGTGACCGTAGTATGGGTCCTGAATATATAGCAATTAGCGAAACAGTCAACGTTCATTAAGTGGGCCATCGCAACACCTACACTTACGACCGTATCGGAGGAAGCCCTGGGAAAGCGCCCTTGCGTCCTTGAAGGTTGCTTACTCGCGTTGTCAAAACTTGACATAGCTACACTGGAGAGTGTATCGGGTTCAAGGGTGGGAGCGATCGACTGACGGCCCGCCAACTGAATGGCCGTTGACCGGCAGATGGAGGAAAGAAAGGGATGATGGCGGAGAAGAACAGGGAGCCCAAGACACAGGCGATTCGGCACCCTGGCAGACAGAGCTAAGAGGAACCTCCTTTTTATTGCAGCACATTGTGGCGCGAGTCCGCACCTGGGAGGCGGCGTTGGTAAAGCGTTGGCCATCAAGCGCCATGTTTTTCCATGCTAGCCCCTGTAGTCGTCAAGTAAAAGTGTCCAGGAAAGACACAGCGGTAGGTGGGACGGGGAGACCCCGGATGGCTGAGACAATCTTGCGAAGCGGCGTCGAGGTGCCTTACCCGGAAGCCCGTGTTGGTGGTTGCGTGGGGCGTCGGGGCAAGTACCTTTGAGACAACAGGCTACAGAGGCACACCAGTCAGCAGCATCTTAATTCGTTTGATGGAACAAAAAGGGTGGCGATTCGGTGAGGCATTCTTCTACGCGACTTGGAGTCGGCTAGAGCTTGATCCAGGACGTACTTGAGTCCAACGCCCGCGAGGAAATGTCTTGCCTGACTTTGTTCAATATCTACGCAAGCGCCATTGGAGGGTGCGGTGAGATGGTATAGCGCAATTGTTCTCGAGTTGGTGGTTCGGAAGTAAGTGCTACCATGCAAGCGCTCACCGTTGCAACGGATCTCGGCTCGATCTTACCGGGGACGACTACATAGTACCAGTGGAACGCCTCAGCAACGCTGACTTTCAAGCAACCCTCTCCTTGGTAGCAGATTACAAAGAACAACACAAGATATACTTCAGACGTATCGCAGTAAGCGTGGGCTCCTGTCCACAAAACCTGGACATCGCACGGGCTCGCGCCACCTCGGGAACAGCACGTAGATTTGTGACCCACAACAGCCCGCGTTGGACTGCCAGCAGCCTGCGTATTTTATGGCCTACGTATAATACTGCAACATCCATACACGCCATGACGGACTCCATGGAGACATCAGTGCCGCGGGAGGCCCCATCCCAGCAGCCGCTCATCATGCAGATCGTCGTCCGCCGGGACCTCCTTGAGGTCCGTATCTTCCTGCACAAAGGAGGCCTTGCGCTTTGCACTGAATATGACCATGCTTTTCGTGTTCCAATCGAGGATAGGCGGAAGGCTGGGGCGTAGGGCCGCTCATGGCTCAGGTCGCACACGCCACCTCTGCGGTATGTTCAAGTTCGCGCTCAAGACCCACGTCAGCTGCAGCTGCAGCTTCTTGCTCATGACCATCCCACCAGGTCCTGCATGAGACCCGGGAGCGTACGGAGACACAGGCGTACCTTGACGATCTGAAGAATATGCGGAAGGTACGTTGCTGAGGCACACCCCCAGCTACTTGATTGACCATCTGGCGCTGGCCATCGTAGGTTGTCATGCAGGTATGTACTGTTGCACGTTCCGCCCATTCATATGTCGACTCACTTCGCTCTGAACCCACCTCAATCCACATCGCATTCAGACTGCCGATCAGGCGAGCATCGAACGTCTTGCTAGCCTCCTCGCCGCCGCCGACCCGCCGATTCAGCACCATCTCTGGATCGAGCAGCCTGAGAACGTCCCGACGTGCCTCGCGCTGGCGCCCAACCGGCGCGAGTCCAAAATCAAGAAGGCCCTTGACAAGTCCGGGGCGCGACTGTGGAAAGGTTGAAGGCCGATAGGAAGGAGGTGTATTGATACATCGTAAGTACAACAATCGCAGCTCAGGAGTCAACTATCTGACAAAGATTTGCGTGACAGTCGAAGCAGAGGGGCGCCTGAAAGAAATCAACGCAGACCTGTCAAGAGCTTGCCTCACGGTGGTGGTGCGGAGTCGGAAAGCGAGGACGAGTTTGAAGCTAGTGAAATAGGAAGACAGGCACTCTGGCCATGCGCGAGCAAAACAGCCAGCGGGGATAGCACTGATGGGCGCGAAGAAGTCAACATGAAGTGGACCTAGGGGAGCCCTTGGAATGGAAGGTATCTGGATCAAAGCTCAGCATCATGACATAAGGACTAGCTTACCATCAGATCAAGAAAGGAGGCTAGTCGGCCTCAAACGAAGGCAGCGGACGGAGACGAACCTGATGCTAGTAAGAGAAGGTATCCATGGCGCCTTTGCCTCTGAACTTGAAGTATCAAACGAAATGATATGGGAATCGATGGGATATGAACATGTAACCGGGATCACCTCGCAGTTCCTCTGGAAGACCATTCACGATATCTTCATGATTGGACCCGGGGATAGATCACCATGGTTGAACGTATACAATGACGGACGGCTTACTGCCTACCGGGCAATCGCGAGATCGCAAATTCTAAAGAGGTGGAAAACCAAGTCCTGTGAGCCTCGCTGGTATATGAACGGTATATATATGTATGTCTACTCGAGGCAATAGGCGCCGGACTGCCTTATGGAAATTTTCAGTCTTCGATGTTTCGAGCAATACGTCACTGGCTGGCCGTACATGTACGCATGTAGACATCCTCGAACCAAAAAGGGCAAGTCAATTGCCTATTTGACGGCGTGCAGGGCTGTCGAGGCGCAGCTCGCGATTGTCCGCCCGACGATTAGAAGACATTGCTTGTCGCGGCGACTAGGCGCGTGGACTCGGGTCGACGTTCGGCGACGACCCCGTAGGCGAGCGGCGAGGAGCCGAAAGGGGAGAAGAGAGGGTAAGAGGGATAAACGTATCAGAAAACTCGACGGGGCAGAGCGGCGGTCGGCACGAAGGCACAAGACCGACGAAAGCTAGTCTTCACGCAACCAGCGACAGACTAGTCCCAATGACCAAGTTATACATTAGCAATCGGAGGGAGATACAACGCTATGGTCACTCACCTAGTCCCAATGACCAAGAGGTCGAGATGGGGACTAGGGAGTGCCTAAGGGGGTCCTTATATACTAGAAGGGCTGCTTAGCAACCAAAGACAAGGCGCGAGAGCGAGGCAGTGAAGATGACAAAGGGAGAACAAAGGGCGGGAAGGAAAAGGCAAAGGCATGGTGATCACGGGAACGTAGCATGCGGGTGTGGGAACGTA